TGTTTTAATCACGAGTAAGCTATTCATGAACGAAACTTTCAAGCTGAACCTACCTTAGCCGGCAGTTCTTGTTCACACCCAAAAAATAAATGAGCTTGAATGCGGCGATGTTTATTAGTCATTTGCTCACACAGATGAGAGCCCACTCGCCAGCGTCCTTTAAAAAAAATAAATGCAACGACAACGAAACATGGACACCATGACGTACACTGTGCGGGTATCAATGTTAAGCGCGGCTACTTTGTGTCTCGTGTTGTTTCGAGCAATACGCATCATTTAAATAGCTGAAACTATAAAATAACCACCTTTGCGATGGATTTTCAGTGTTATCTTCCACGTTTTGCTACCCATTTCCCACGGGCAGAAGACGACAGTGACTGATGTGTTCCCGGTAACGGGGGCCTTCGACTATAGTCCAACGTCTGACTATCGCCTCTGTGCCACTATTTTGCGCTGAGCTTTACATTGCCTTTGATGAAATGGGCAGAACAAACCTACACACTCTTGGTGGGAATTCAGTTTTTTCGCGTGATCGCTGCAACGCAGGCACTCTTTCTATCGTCATTGGTCAGAAAACAGCACGTTTTGACTAGCATATAAAATTAATTCAGGCATGTAGACTGCATCCGGGCTTGACACAGCTGTGCTCGAGTGGCCAGCGCTTCATCAAAATAATTTTATCCGCATAAAACCTCGGAACACAAGCAGCCACTGCCAGCAACAAACGCTAAGACCACGCAAAAACAAGCTAAACTGGAAGTTTCCAGGGGTGGTTTCCCGGCGAACGCACAATGTTGCCAGAGACCAACCGGCTCTGGCGAAACCATCTATACACACGTCCCAAGTTCGCTGTGATTACCGCTAGGCTTTTGGCGTAGTCAGCCACTCACCGCTTACGGATAGACTGATGCGCTCCGATGTGGACCCTTCAACTGTGAATCTCCTGGTTAGCTATTTTTCGATGTATCATGTTATGTTACCGAAGTGACCAAACATATCCACAGGCTCTCCCGTGTCCCGCTATGAGGCGGCCTCCACATTTTGATTTTGATTTTAATGACGTCTCTTTCACCATTCTACATAAATGTAGAATGCAGAATTCTACATAAGCGCGCGCGCGCGTGTGTGTGTGTGTGTGTGTGTGAGTTTGTGTGTGTGTGTGTGTGTGTGTTTATGTGTGTGTGTGTGCGTGTGTATGTGCGTGTGTATATGCGTGTGTGTGTGTGTGTTTCTGTTTGTGTGTTTGTGTTTGTGTGTGTGCGTGCGTGCGTATGTGCATGCGTGCGTGTGTGCGTGTGTGTGTGTGTTTCTGTGTGTTTGCGTGTTTGTATATGTGAGCGGGCGCGTCATCAAGGCTTCTGTTAAATTTATTCTGCAGACATATGTTAGCGGTGCAAGAGCAATAACATAGTCATCAATATTTCCAAAGCCAAAGTTATGAATTTCATTTGGAAAGCATATAGCGTATACCACACGGTGCAGTGGAGCAATTTGGACGGGTAAAAAGGCATTAAGAAGTGCTACTTCACCACACGGCATAAAGGTCACTTACTAACTATCCCAGCTCTCGACTTTATTGATCTCTCGTACAATTTTCGTTCTCTCTTTTTTATGTAATGTTTTCGCACTCTGCCTTCACCATGTTCTTGCTCAGTGTTCTTTTCAGTTATGTAAGGTTTGTGAGATCAATATTCATAATTTCGTCTTTTGTAGCAACTTACACTATTCCGCTTCGATTCGTTTGTTCTGTTGGCTGTGTGGGCAGAATATGTAGCAAATCGTTTCCTTCTTTGCCCATGCTCAAACTGTAAACCGCAACTTTAATATACCTCCGGAATCCAAAATAGGATTTCTAGTTCCAGCAGTAACACCACAAAGCGAGTAAAGAAAATAATTTCTAGGCATATATAACAATCGTTCGGCAGAGTTGACTCAGGATATCGTGTAACACAATCGCATTTTTACAATTGCCACCAATTCACAGACAACGAAATCACACTGATGTGAAAACCTTATTCAAAGTACCGTATCCTGCCCTGAACTACTCATTTGTACTGTTTTTTTAGTTACGCGTACCTTAGGCAGGCTACAGACAATTGTATGCGCCTGACCTTCTCTACCAACACTAAAGCTTCCACAGAATGCAGAGTTTGTATAATTCTTGCATTTCTAATCTAGATGCGTTTCACAGCTCCAAGTCATAATTTTTCACTGTGCTTCGTGCTTTTTCGTTCAACTTCCCTCTCTATACAGATTTCTTTTGGCTTTCTGTTTTTTTTTTCAGGCTACATTGCGCAATGAATGTGATTTCATTTGTTATTAACGTTGTATGTGTCGCATGTTATGTATTTCTGCACGGTTGTCTTGACTATTTCATTCTTCTTTCCTGTCTTATTTCTTTATACTTTTTCCACGAGGCTGATACATTGTCCATTATCAGTAATTTCAATTTGCTTGACTGCGTGAACCAAGACAAAGCGTTTACAGTTTTTCTTGATGTTAAATAAATAAGTAAAGAAATAATTTTATGGGTATTGATTATGACGACATATAATTATTATTATTATTATTTGTTATTATTATTATTATTATTATTATTATTATTATTATTATTATTATTATTATTATTATTATTATTATTATTATTATTATTATTATTATTATTATTATTATTATTATTATTATTATTATTATTATTATTATTATTATTATTATTATTATTATTAGCGACAATAGCGAAAGTTGGGCTAGTTTGTGGTTCATACTTTTAAAATGTTTAATATATCAGCTCTCATGTTATGCTGGTTGTTGGTTTAATTTACAATAAGTAAATCATCAACATACAAAAAAATGTAGCAGGACATATTGATCAATTCATCGGCAACAGACCTGTCGACTTGTCCCAAGAAAATATTACTTAAAATTGGTGCCACCCTAGATCCAATGCGAGCACCAGATTTCTGGACATGAAAGCCCCCTTTCCACACCACGCACATTGACCGCAACTAAAACGTCAGCAATTCCAGGAAGCTTTCTAAGGAAACGCCACAACTGTTAACGAACTTAACTTCATTATTGTCCTCAACCACACATCATTTAACACTCTGCAGAAGTTCAACATGCGTGGCAGCTTGGGCTAGTTGGTATGGCATGACGATAGTTATAGCACGAGAACAAAACGAGAACAAAAGCGCGAGAACAAAACGTCCTTCTTGTCTTTGTGTCGTCGTCGTTTTGTTCTCGCGCTTCAACATGCGGTAAGGAGTAAAACATGTCCTCAATGTTGATGCTGAAAGCCGAACAAGAACCCGGGTTATTAGTTTTGAGAAAATCTACTACATTTTCGGAGTTCTTTACTACGAAAAGATCGACTACATTGAGGTCTTCCAGGTGCATCTGCCAGTAAGACGACATCTCAGACAGCCAAGTTCCTTTTTATGATACAATGGCTCTGAAAGGAGAATTAAGTTTATGGGTTTTCACTGGGAAAAAAACTTGCAAGTTTAATCTTTTTGCCTTTTTTACTCTACTGACAAGACTGGACAGATTCCTATCTTGCAGCATAGCAATAGCCTGCTGTTTCACCTTCCTTGTTTCAACGTCCACTCTTTTGAAATTCTTCAATAGGGCTGTGTCAGATTTTTCATTGAAAACGCCCTCTTTCATGACCACGAACATTTCTTTCTTATGCGCCAAACAAACCTTAAGCCCATTCCCCTCTAAATATTCTACGACTAGCTTGTCAGGGGAGAGCCTTCGCCTAGCAAGGACGTTTGAGTGCATACATCTATACAATCAGACACGCACCTTATCTGCTCGCCTTCAGGCACATATCGGGAAATGTTCCTTGAAAGAGCTACCTTTTCACCCAGTGGAACATTAGGTTCAAACGCGAATTTGGGTCCCAGTTTTAAAACCTTATTAACGTCCTCCGGGATAGAACAATCACCAAAAATACGCACTTCACCTTGGGTCAGTCCTTTCTTTTTCTTGGTTGGAAGTGTCGGTCGCACCTTGCGCCAAAGGAACTTGATGATTCCCTTGGTCGTCTTCCTCCATTCTTTCAGGTGACGCTGTTGCCTGAATGTTGGCTCAGTAGAGCAGGCTGCCACCAAACAGTCTCAGAAAAAATCAACTTACCTCCACCACTCAGAGCGCAAAATGCGGCACATCCTTCTGGCGTGTCCCACCAAAGGTTTGAGAAACCCGCACATCCCTTGTAGTTTCGGAGGGCACAGATCCTGTTTTATATACCAAGAGCATACCCTTGCTCTGCACACACACACGGCTATGGTAGAAGCCAAGGAGGCCGATTCATCGTGAAGAACGTAGGGATAGAGAGAAGATTCTGATGTACAAGAAATAAATTGCAATAACAGCGAAAGTTGGGCTAGTTGGTGGTTCATACTTGGCAAGTAAAAACTGCGCAAAAATATAGACAAGGACAGAGGAAGAGACGACACCGTGCTGAACTCGCAACTAAACTTTATTGGAAGACACACGCACCTATATCAAGCATTCGGCCCGGTCACGTGGAAAAGCAAAGGCGTCTGCGCATCAAAGCAAACAAGGTATGAAACAAGCCTAATCATATTGATCATCAACACGTGTGTAACAACTATGAAAAAACAAAAACACCCCTTCATATTTGCCAAAAACATATGCAACAGTCCATAACAAACTAAAAATCACTTAAACATGGCAGCGCTAAACCCAAGAACCGAACTTCCTTTTCACCAAGGGCCACAGACGGCTTACTTACACACCTTTTCCCCTCTTTTTCAATGAAAAAAGCCTCCATCACTTCCCTAGTGCCCTTGTTTCGATGTCCAAACAAACAAGTTGCTATATCTGCCAATGGCTGCTCATGGTGTCATCTCTTTCTCGGTCCTTATCTATATTTTTGCGCTGTTTTTACTTCCCGATTATTATTATTATTATTATTATTATTATTATTATTATTATTATTATTATTATTATTATTATTATTCAGCTACCAAATGCCTACCAACCGGACATTGTGTCATAACCGGCCTCGTGTTTCTCCCTGGATCGATGCCAGGACCTTTGTCCAGATGCACAGGCTAGCCGTCTTCAGAATGGCTCCAATTGTCGCTTTCCACGGCGTTGGTAAGTGACGACCTGCATATATGCATAACCTTGTAAAGCGCCTACATGTGTCTGATTAGACAGAACAAAATTCACAGCTTTAAATGTGTGTACGCCGCCACAGTATTCTGCAAAAATTTCATTATTTTGTAGAGGGCCGTTTGTTTGGGACCCTGATAACGACTGGAAAGTCCAGTCTACTTTCTCCGATAATCTTACGCCACCCAATTTACGGGGCGCATTTTCACTATTTCAAAAAGTGTCGCTACTCCACCAAGGCCACCAGCGGTTACCTTCAAGACTACGGTCATCCCTCTTGGGAAAAACTGGTTCCGGTGTGTTCGCAAGACTTTTGGTGCACAGAGTTTATTGTTAGCGAGGTAGCTGCTCACGCTACGATTTTATAATAGTCTGAATCAAACGGCTGCAAAGTTTTGCGAGAGCGTTAGCAATAGGCCCAGTAAACATCGGATTGCGACAAGTGCACGTTTATATCTAAAAATTACAGGTGCCTTTACGTCTTTCTCATGTAACCTCATCAGTAAGCATTAACCCATGCCCCAGCTAAATGAAGGTGGCTAGCACCTCGCGCAAATCATCAATATAGCTAAAATCACTAAAATGGGCAAACTCCTCTTTCTTAAGCACAACTGAAAGGTCGTCGATGTATTCTGGTTAAAAGGACTATCTACAGTCAACAAAAAGATGTCGCACAGTATCGGTGCCACACACAAGCGCTCGTGTAGTCGTCTTTGTTCTTGTAACCCTAACATTAAAAATACCAGTAAACATGTTGTTTGCGAGTGCCACGACACGCTTTCAGAGCAAATTGCGCTGTATTGAGTGTTGGTTTTCCGTCTTCTGTCTGTATTTCAGCACTTATGCTTCCCCTGATGCTCCCTGTGACGCGGGCGGTGCTCATGGATTTCGCCACATTCAACGCCAAGGTGGTGCCATCGTGTTTCAACGAGTCCTCGATGCGAACGGAATCAGCGACGGCACACACCCTGGATGCTTTCACGTCATTGGTGCGTAAAGTCGAGGCCGCGCATCCAGCGCTGGACGTTGCTGACACGGCAGCTATGTTGCTGGCGCGGTATGTGTACAGACAAAGGCTATTTGCTTGAATCCCGTAAGACTGCTCTGTTGGGTTAGTGTGTTTAAGTATTGAAGCTGAGCGTGTTGGTATGATTGTCATAACTTAGATCTGACACGTGCGTCGGTGGGGTTACGTAAGGGCACTCCGTTATCTTTATATTCACCATACGGCCACATAGACGTCCATGATTAATTGGAATCTTCCGGGCTATGTTCACTGCACCGCTCCTGCGTCCAACGAAGCAATGAACAAACATGAAAACAGCCCATCACACGTCGACTGCTTATGCATGATTATAGGTATCGATCGCAAGATAATAAAGTTTCTAATACGGCGTCTTTCTCGCCATTAGTTCTTCCACATTAGTTAGAAATGTTTGGGCGGGAGGAACATAATTTCCTGCCTGTAGCGAGGCATCAGGAAACCGGGTAAGCTGAAGACGTCACAATTAACGTGTTCACGCAAAACATCGCACTAATATGACGAGCATACCCTGATATATTTACGGAGTAGAAGAGTTGTTATTTGTGTCTGTTTGTCTGTATAATCTTGATTATTGGAACACACCAAAAAAAAAAAACACGACGCAGGCAGGAGCGAAGTTACAAACTCAAAGACTAATCGTTTTTTTAACCAATTCCTGTATGCTCCTCCTTTGGCTGGTTTCAGTTCTCAATATTTTGCGAAATAGAAGGAAAATCTCCCGTTCCAAACAGAATACCACATTGCTGCTCATCTTGAGATTTGACGGCCATCTTGCATCAGGCGGGAATATAATTATTTGGGCGTTACTGACATTTCAAGCGTAATGTAGGGAGCATACACTAAATCTAAGAAACTCGCACATTAGATACAAGCTTTAGCTGTAGTGTAGTAAACACGCCATGAATGGAAAATCATTAAAGTGCGCAAAAAAACCACCTTCACGCACGTAGAGCCCGAACCGGGACGACAAAGCGAGTGTGTGAAAGCACGAAATAATATACGTTTCAAAATAAATACCAAGGTATTTCTGGTCAGCCCGAGGAGCGCCCGATGGTGCTTTTCAGAAGTGTTGGTAATTGTTGTGCGTGCTTACGCTGGGTAGAGCATCATATTTGCTATCCGTCACAACTTAACAAAAACGGGCAAACACTGGTATGCATTTTATAGTGTTTTATCATCTACTCTCGCTAACGTTTTTTTTTCTTTTTCTTTTTTTTTCGTGATATTGCAAGTTTCTTGAATGTCCGATTTCTCCCGACTCCTTTGCGTGGCTTCTTGGACACTTAGCACATAAGAACAGAGAAAGTCCACAGTCCGTGCATGTTGTAAACGCATTCATTTAGCACTCATTAAGTGCACCTATAGCCTAGTTACATGCCTAATAAACTCGGATCGATTAACTATAACGGGCTATACAGCTGCGAACCCTTTGTCGGTGGTCTTTGTAGACTACTAGGCTTCATCACGCTGCGTGAACAATGACGTTTTTATCTTTTCGTACATAAGCAATTATTTCAGTTTCCCTTGTCATCGTCCATTACTTCGCAAGAGAATTCCACGCGCGATGTGTGCGCAGGTTCTCAATAGACTTCGTAGACCATCAACGTCTGGCGAATGGCGGCGAGCGCTTCGTGGTGGACTCGGCGCGTGAACTCAAGGCGGCCGTCTTGGAGGCCATGCTAGGCAACGCACAGCTCCTGCAGCCATTCGACGAGGGCAGCCTAAGCGACGGAGAAAAGTGCGCCCTCTTCTACATGTTGTCACACACTTTCAACAGCGGGCCTCAACCACAGGACGAAAACAGACTTCTGAAGAAGTGAGAACCCTTTAGCACTGTGGAACATACGAATGTTCTTCTACGGAATCCCCTAGTGAGGTTTAGCTGAGCTGAAAATATATGCAAGGAAAAACTTGTACATTGCAGGCGTAATGAAAGCCCACAATCTTTTCTCATCGTTCACTTTAAGCAGCAGGGCTATATGTCGCACTTCATCGGCTTGGCTATGACAACAAAACTATGATTGAAAAATTAATGCACCACATCTTGGCTAACGTTAGCTAGGAGAAGCAATACATAAAGATTAGAAAACTGAAAGAAAAATGAAGCACCTCTAATTATAAATTAAGTACCTCTGAGATGGTGCGTGTTTTAGGTGTCCGTAAAGACCTGGATAATGACTCCTGTTTCTGCTGTAAATACGAAGGGTACACCTCTCGCGGTTTCACGACCATTTGCTGACCGCATAACTTGTTTCGTTGCAACGCATTGGCGGTGACAACGTATTGAATCTGCGTTAAGTAAATAGCTGTTTTCCAGCACTATCATTACATTTCATGCTCAACCAACTATCTGAAAAGTCGATCCTTTTTTTTTCTTTTTTTGGCAACGAAGCTTCATCGATGGTATTGCGTGCGTGTGCGAAACCAGCGCAAAAATCAACTTTCCGTTTAAATACCAACTAACTTTGCAGAAATCTGCACTGAGGAGTGAAATTTGTGAAACACAGAAGCGTTAGCTCTAGAAAAAATCGCGCAGCTCCACAGGCAAACTGCCTGGTTTAGTCAAGACAAATACGCTTCACGGTTGAAGAAAATTTTGATATTGTCTAAAAACGGAACCCAGTCTTTCCGGTGAAGTCGTTTGAAAACCTTAGCTAACATGGGGATATTTCAGGTTCATATACAGCGGCTACATGAATCGACCCTTGAAAGTGTACGAACGGGTGAGCAGCAGAGTGCATTTCGAGATTGTTTTTTTTTTCATCCCATGGTGACATTATCTTACTGGGGTATCCGAGCTGTGGCATCTAGTAAAGTACAAGAAGCATCTCAGTACACGTCCTCGGTGTAGAATACACATGCAATGTTGATTTCTTGAATGGCTCAAATTTGTTATTAGAATATTATCCTAGGCTGTAAGCACAATGATGAAGTTGTACTGAATATATGGCAGACATCGTTACATAACCATTCCTCGCCGCAGGTGCGATTACTTGTTGTCCATGAGGCGTAGAGCTGCTGGTGTCGAAGGGTTCGGTAGGAGGAGAGATGGGGGGGGGATAGAGAATGTAATCTTTCCATTTCTTTAATTTCTCCTAGCAGACGTGTGCGCGAACTATTGCTGTTTATTTATCTAAGAAGCGTCGCGAGACTCCACGACTGCGTAGTGTGCAGGAGCAGGGCGTCGTTGGGGTGGCCCACAACGCCACCATGAGCATCGCCCTGGGTCACGTGCTCAAGGGCTTGGTGGCCAGCAAGTACGCGCAGCGGGACACGGTCCAAAACGTGATGCAAACGCTGAAGCCCTATGGGCACTTGGACCAAGGACACGTGGTGGTAGACCACGTGTATGGACCCACAGTGGCCGGTGGGTGCAATTTTCAGCTTTTGTAATATGAAAGTGAAACTATATTTGCGAATGAACACAGGCAAAACCAAAAAAGGTTTAGCCTCAATTCTTATATCAGCTTGTTGTGGTGTACATACAGAGTCTTTCAGGTAAAATAGCAAGCAATAAAAAACTAAATGTCAGCGCTACGCGTCTCCAGCTAGCCAGGTATTGTTCCTAGCTTTATGTAACTCCCCCAAATATTTTTTTATCCACCAAGCACGGTGAATAACAAAAAACTGCTTAATAAACTCTTTTAAAAAATTACTCTACAAGAAATGATTTCAATACAAATCTTGTTGCCCTTATCTAAAATTATCAACATTTTCAAACTAGGCTAAGATAGCGAAACTGGCTACTTTTTTAGAGCGTTTCTTAAATTGCGCAAATTCAAAAAGTACCATGGGATTGCCACCTAACGCGTGGCGCATTTAGTACCCTCATATGCAAGTTGAATAATTTAGCAATGGCTTTTCCTCACGAAGGTCACTTGAACAGCCTATCGGTGACTACGATGGACGTTAAGCGATGGTTGGATGATATTGCTCAAAAAGAATTTAATAAACGAAGACAATAACTTCGACTAAGGGCAATTAAGACACGAACAAACCAGCGCATTTTCCTTTATAACCGGCCCCAACGTGTTTCATTTGCCACTGGCGTTCATTTATGCTGGCAGTTCACCTGGGAACGGTGTCTACGTGGTCCAACAGCAAGTTGCCCACCATCGGTGGTGGTGGTTTATGGACAACGCCCGCGTGTCCCCGGGAGTTCCGTGTTGCTGACAAAACAGCGAGGCTCACCGATGCTGAGATAGTCGGGACTGTGGATGGTGAGTTCCTTAATTCTCTGCTCTCTACCAGCTGCCCCGTTCACGATATGTTAAATATCGTTTAGTCAGGCCAAGTTGAGGCGACACTGTTGGAATTGCGATTTCTTGAATATTCGGGACATTTTGAAGCCCCAGCTTCTTAGAATGGATGTGAAGACATACATGGAATACATATTTCCGATTAATTAAGTATGTATTTTGGCAAAGCTTGCTTCACCTTATAGGGGCCCAGCAACATTTTTGAGCATGGTCAAAAAACGCTGCCGATAGGTAGTAGAGGCTCCCGACTACAGGCAAGCCAAATATTATAGCGCAGCACGCGGCCTAGATTCCCAATAAATGATCAAAGTTAGCTAAAATTTGCTTTCTCTTCTCTCGACAAATGACAGAAGCCGCTGAAACATTACTCTAGAAAGGCCACATATCAGCTATTGGGTGATTTGAACATGATGTGCTCGGTCGTTGCAGAGATCGCCGCGGGAGGCCACGGTCTGTCCACGAGTGCACGCGTGATCACACTGAAAAACCGAGCATTTGTAGAAAAAAATCACAGCATATCCAAGAAGTGAATGATGATGAGTGGGGCAAAGCGTCCGTCCGTCCGTGTCTCCAACCTTCTGTGTGTCCGTTCATTCGACCGTCTGTTGATCTGTTTGTGCTCCCATCTGTCCGTCCGTCCATGCTTCTATCTGTCCGTCTGTGAGTCCGTCCATGCATGTGCTTCCGTCCGTCCGTCTGTCCGTCCATTCGTTCTTCTGTCCATTCGTCTGTCTGTGAGTCCATCCATCCGTCTGTCCGTCCATCCGTCTGTCCATCCCTGCTTCTGTCCATCCATCCGTCTGTCTGTCCATCTGTCTGTCCGCCCCTGCTTCCGTCCATCCGTCCGGGTGTTCGTCTGTTCTTCTGTTCGTCCATGCGTCCGTCCGTGCTTACGCCCATGCTTCTGTCCGTCCGTCTGCGCTTCCATCCGTCCATCCATCTGTCTGTCCCTCCATGCGTCCATCAGTTCATCCGTGCCTCTGTCCGTCCGTCCACCTGTCTGTCTGTCTGTCTGTCTGTCTGTCTGTCTGTCTGTCTGTCTGTCTGTCTGTCTGTCTGTCTGTCCGTCACACACACTAACGCCACCTGCTAAGTAAGTCATACAACTAGGTGGTTACGAACTGGTCACAGAGACATGCATGTACATAGCCCCGACTTTAGGAGCTTCACCCCTGAAAAATATTCACGTGGTTTTTGTTTTGTTTGTCATTTACTTCTTAAACGGCGCTTCATTAGGTCACATGATAATTTTTACTAAGACAGTGGCAATTGTTGCGTGCCCAATGAAGAGCTTTGTAACACTATAATTTTTTGTATTGGTTCATTACAAGCCGCGAAAGCATGATGCGAGGAGGTAAGCTTAAAACATTTGACGTTAGCCCGGTGTGGACTTCGCTAGCCAAATTCATTCCATGTCCTGTTCCTTATCGGAGCAACTCGGAGCTGGAAGACCACACGACGCAGACGCGCCAGCACCTCATTCGCATGACATGCTCTAGCCAGGTCGTGCTCACAGGTAGTGTCGTTTCACCGCTCTCAGTGCTGTACTGTATGTTGATGTGGGGTGGATCCCTCTATGCGCGCACGTTTGAAGAGGCTGGCATATACATCACAAATTCTTACCACAATACACAGCGTCGCATCTTTGGAACCGCTCTAAGGGTCGACGCACAAAAAAGCATACTCACGGAGTTCATGATGATGAGTGGGGTGAAGCGTCCATCCGTCCGTTTGTTCTTGCTTGCGTCCGTCCATGCGTCTGTCTGTGTGACCGTCAGTGCGTCCATACGTCCGTCCGTGCGTCTGTTCGTGAGTCCGTCACTGCGTTCGTCCATGCGTTCGTCTATCCATGCGTGCGTCCGTCCGTCTCCTCATCCGTCGGTCCATCTAGTGAACACTCCAAGTACCACCATCTCCCATATCTTTATCATATATTCAGCATATGGAACTACCGCTATCCCACGCACATTCTAAGCACTAAACGAGAGGTGTCACTCGCGTACTATCTTACGGCCTGTGCTTCGTGTCTACTTCCCACCATTCGCCGCCTCTAGTTCATGGCTAAATACTAGTTCACAATATTCAAGTCATTGTGGCCCAACCCTCGCTAAACCTGTGTTTAGAAAAAAAATGTTTAACAATTTCGAGTACTTCGTACTCAACTATGGGAAAGCACTAAGCCGTCCCGCTAAAGCCAATGAGGTACCTTTGAACAGATTTACATTACGTAAGGAGTGTTTCCCTCGCATGCGAAACCTTTCGTTTAGAGAAATTTATTCTCATAGACAGTGAACATCAATTACAATCCAACAGAACATTGCGACAGAACACAACATCCACAGACACACCAAAAGTTGTCACAAAAAGATATGTGTACATATGTAAACGGGACAAAACATACACAACTTACCCAACTAAACAGGAATTGTTACAAAAACAATGTCTGTTTAGAAAAAGTGGTTAACAATTTAGAGTACTCGGTACTCTACTATGGGAGAGCTTGAAGCCGTCCCGTAAACGTAATGTAAAGGCGCCTTTACAATGTCTACATATGCACCAAGAAGGTCAATGAAGGTTACGCCCAGCGAGTTTAACGTGGCAACCATTTCGGTCAGATAGTCCTCAAAGTACGGCCTTTTGATACTAGTTCTTTTTTAGTAAGCGTCAAATTCAAAACAAATTTTATTGGAGTCTAAAGCACCAATACTCGTCTCTGTAAGCCATTTCATCAGAAACAACTATTTTTTTTTTTATGATTAACGTGCACGGGTTTCCTCCTTGAGCGAAAAGGGTGCATGCGTGCCGCTCCTCTAGTTCGGTTGTGAAGGTGGCTTCTTGCTACTACTACTACGACGACTACTAATACTACTACTACATACATCGCGGACGCACGACCCACGGCTTCGGGAGCTTCACCCCCAAAAGAAAAGAAAGAAGGGCTCAGGTCACGAGGCGCGCGTGACGTTTTAGGGGCGAAGCTCCTTATAGCGGCACCCGTTCGTCCCCCGTAGTATGTAACAAGGATAACATTTTGAACTCCAAGGTGGTGCCGGTGAGAGACTTCTTCTGTGCGTTGTTGAACAATAAAAATAGTGCTCAATGTACATGTCAATGGCTGCTAATGGGGAATGAAAGACAGGAGCATTCGGCTTTTAGTTAACGCGCAGGCTGCGATCACCATTAGCAGCCATTGGCATGTACATTGAGCACTATCTGACAAGAAAGGGTTGCTACGTTATACTCGCTGGTGTAACCTCCTTAGCTTTAGAAAGGTTTAGCGAGCGTTGAGCCGCAGTGCCATGAATACAATGAACTTGTATATACCATGAATGAACTCGAGGTGGTTAAAAATGGGAAGTAGATACGAAGCGCAAGCCGTAAGAAAGTAAAAGCCGAATTCTCCGCCTCTCATTTCCCATTAGCAGCCATTGGCATGTACAGTGAGCACTATCTGACTGAAAAAGTTTGCTGCGTCATACTCGCTGGGCGTAACCTCCTTGGTTTTCGAAAGGTTTAGCGAGCGTTCGGCCGCAGTGCCATGAATACAGTGAAGTAGTATATACCATGAACTCGAGGTGGTTAAAGGTGGGAAGTGGACCCGAAGCGCAAGCCGTACGAAAGTGTGCGTGTGCCACCTCTCGTTTAGTCCTTGGAATGTCCGGTGGATGGTGGTGCTTCTATATGGGGAATATATGATGAAACGATGCGAGATAGTGGTACTTGGAGTGTTGAATAGATGGACGAACGGACACATAAAAAAGATGCAAGGATGGACGCATGAACGGACGCAGGGGCGGCTGCATGGACGAACACTGGGACGGATGCACGAACAGACGCACGCACGGACGGGCTGATGGACGCATGGACGGTCACACTGACGGACGCATGAACGGACGGAAGCGAGAATGAATGGACGGACGAATTCTTCGCCCCACTCTCCATCATTCACTCCGTGGATATGCTGCCACCTTTTTTTTGCCCCTGCTGCTTCTCCGTGCTTAATTTCCAGTGCTTTCGAAGGGCCGAATAAGAGAGAATGCAATTCCAGCATGCGCCAAATCTTAGTAACTCCACTCGCACTGAAAGGATTCTTAAAATTTTTGAAGCGGTGAATTTATGAAGCAATAAGCTCTTCCAGTGAATCCAATTACTTGAAAAAAGTTCTTCAGGGCCCCTTTAAAAAAATGTACTGTTGGGTGAGTGGGTGTTTCATTCTTAACTAAGATGCGTGACAAACATGCAAGAAGAGAGAAAGGAAAAGCACAACGCATTCCTTTGCGCTTGTTCTGTTTCTCTTTATTTTTGCTTACTTCGGCCTTTTTTCAGGAACAGAGCAAAACAAAACACGTTCAGGAACAAAAAATCCTTTCTTCCACAGCTTTATGCTCTCCGATGGTAGAGTACGAAGTACTTAAAATTGTTAGCCACTTTTTTCTAAACGCACGAACAGTATACATGTGTAGGAATATGTGCTGTTGCAGTTCCTTTCTCTTTTCGCCGACGTTTTTGGCGCATTTTCCCAAAAACTTGCTTTACCTTTAAAAAGCTCTCTCGCACTTGTGATCTTGTGATCGTTCACCTGCCCCGCTACACCATTTGCTCATGTCTGATTGCGTGCAAATTTTCAGTGCGTTTGAGAACACGTTTACTGAAGGCATAGGAGGGCTGTCGTCACTACCCCCCCCCCAATTTTCGATTTTCTAACTTCAGCTGGCATTGCTTGTCAGCCGTCGAGATAAGATGTCTGAAAGCAGTGTTGTAGATGTCGCTATGCCTGCCATTTGTCGGCTTTGGTGGGCTCACGCAAGATGCAGTGCTCCGTATAGCGCAAACGTGACCTAGAATGCAACCTTCGACAGGTGTGTATTAGCATGTAACTGCCTTTTCTTTTTTCGGCACCACAACTGAGTAATCAACCTGGGGTCACATTCACAAGATTTTTTTCTTCCCAAGTATAAATTTTCATTGGCCAACCAACGTCGTTGTTGATATTTTTATCATCGCGGTTGACTGAAAATTTATATTGCTACTGATCATTCGATTTAACATCACAAAACCAAAATATGTATTTATGAGAGACGCCGTACTGGAGGACTTCAAAACTTTCGGCCACCTGGCGTTCTTTAAAGTGCACCTAAATATAAGTACACGAGCCTCGAGCATATTCCTCTTCATCGAAAATGCCACCGCTGCGGCCGTAATTCACTCCAGTGGCCTGCAGGTCGACAATCAAGCACCATGGCCACTACAGCACCATGGTCGGTTCATTTATGGTATGGGCAATACTAGGGCAAAATCATTCTTGTGTTTGCCTACGCCATTTGGTGCTATGTTGACAATGTTCCTCTCCGCAGTCTGCCTTGTTTTGTTATGTCAAACTTGCGTAAAAATCACAGATGTCCACTATTTTTTATGATAAACCACCGATTCTTTGTGTATGTATAGAACATACCCCTTTGTGAGCAGCACATCACAAAAAGAGGCACAAAATAGATAGTTATCGCTCCATATTAAACTAGTTATTCTCCACTACATTCGGGCCTCGGCGAATGAGAGAAACCTATATCTACATGTTAAAAATGAACAAAATATAACCATCTGCGTAATATCATAATTTAAATATTTTTCTCTTCTTTGGTTCACCAGCTATATGCAGTACTCGTTTGAAACGTTCTGGTATGGTCCAGCAAGCAGCACCGATATCCTTGTGTGTTACATCACCAACATTTATATCATTTTATACCCAGTGGTTCATTACACTATGAAGAAGCAGGTAAATACTTCTTGATGTTCTAAGCGGCCCACGGAAAATATCTAAACTGACCGTACCAGAACATGTACACATTTCGAGCTACGTTTTCGTACGGTTTAATTAAAAGCTCTACAAATGCGTGCTTCTTTGAAAGTATTTCAGTAACTCTTGTTTCAAGCTGCAAACTTCGCAGTGACTGAAAGAAGTTTTGAAAATGGTGTTAATGCTTCCAATTTTTTTCCGGCGGCTGAATATCTTTGTGTGACACCAGAATTGTAAATGTACACTTGGTACGCATTCGCCATCAAGCTCGCTGGCATCATAAACACAGCACGCAACTTCTGAATTGCCCTTGTTTAGAAACCTTCCGCAGCTCTGAGGTATTCCATGTATAGCAATCTGGAAACGTGTTTTGTCGGCCTGCTCTCAGAGAACAGGAAGCGCATTAACAGAATTTGTGATAAGTGAGTTAGCGAATGAAATACTTAAGAGTCAACATTGGTTAAACCTTTCTTTTAGGTTTCATGCTGGCCATGACATTGAGGAGAATGAACAAGCAACGACCACGCCGGCTAAGCCAGATATTGGATGGCTACTACAGCGTCAGGTAACGTGCAGTCCAAGCGAGTTACAAGAGAAATCATGAACGGTTTTCTCATCATTTAACCTTTTTATCCCAATATTTAGAAATCATACGTATACTTTTCAAATGAAACGATCTTTGGTAGTTTGGAGTGTGCTCCAGAACTGAGACACTACGTTTCCATAATGCAAACATGAGTGCAGCCTGTATATTTTGGTCACTCTTCTAGTTCAGCAATGGATTGACACCCGAGAATGAAGAGCTTAGTAAATTATTATGCCAGAACAAAAACAAAATGAGTACTCACTTTCAGTACTACAAGAGACACTAAAGGCCAATAATTAACCGATTTTGATTGCAGAAATGTGTGTCCAGAAACCTCCTAGTGCTACTTTTCTGCCAAGGAAGTGCTTATTTTGAAATGAAATCACGTTTTAGTGATCCGCGTTGCTTTGGCACACTTCAAATTTCCCGCCTGAAAGTGGCCGTCTCACCTCACTGTCGCTACGTCCAACGTTGTCCGGTTTTCCTGCACGGCCACCGACACTATGAGCTGCAGAGCGAAAGTAGCGGCAGCCACAGCAGCAACAATGGCCAGTCAACAACTTTCAGCCATGGCCTCCGAGATGGCGGGCGTGCGTGGCTCAACTCAACCCCGCTATATGGCACTACCTGGCCAGTTAAATTCGAGTTACTGTATATGCTGCCTATAAGTAGCAGAGTAGCGCACTTGTTTTCCAGTGCCGCTAGCAGTCATGCACTGCGTAGAAGCTGGTGCACAGCCAGCACCACCGAAAACGGTTGCCGTTCACGTGGAATCTATAAAGTGACCGTCGTGCGCTTTGTAGCTCGTTATATACGAACTGGTCCTTTTTCTTTGCTTTAGGTTTATGCTCTTAAGCTTCGACAGTAGCCCCGCCGCGGTGTTCTAGTGGCTAAGGTACTCGGCTGCTGACCCGCAGGTCGCGGGTTCAAATCCCGGCTGCGGTGGCTGCATTTCCGATGGAGGCAGAAATGTTGCAGGCCCATGTGCTGAGATTTGTGTGCACGTTAAAGAACCCCAGGTGGTCGAAATTTCCGGAGCCCTCCACTGCGGCGTCTCTCAAAATCATATCGTCGTTTTGGGACGTTAAACCCCGCATATCAATCAATCAAGCTTCGACAGCAAAGTATTTGCGTGCATTTGCCACAATTTCCTAGAAACATGCTGAAATATCCAATGCTATAGGCAAAGTGGGGCACTCATTGAATATCGGAGGAACTATCATTTGTGTTTGCGAGTTGCTGCGTATCTTTTGTAGCGGTTACCACTTGACCATGTGGCAGCGGTGATGCATGTTATTCGGCACTACGCTACGCCTTCGCGCTTTGCGTTACCAAACAGCTAAAAAAATCACAGCATATCCATGGAGTTATTGATGATGAGTGGGGCGAAGCGTCCGTCAGCCCGTCTGTTCTGGCTTCCGTCCGTCCGTCCATTCATCCATCCGTCTGCTAGTGTGTCTGTCTGTCTGTCTGTCTATCTGTGCATCTGTACATCTGTCGTCCGTCCGTACGTTCATAGTGAGCGCGAATGAATGGACGCTTATCTCGCATCCTCTGTGGCACATACCCGCTCTAGAGTAGGTATGTGCCACCAGTGGCTACCAACATACATCGGGGACGCACGACTCATGCCTTAAGGAGCTACGCCCCTAAAATGCTTTTGAACTCCCGTGGCACAGCCCCGAGAGGAGGTGTCACTTCTTTCTTTCGCAGGCTTTTGACACACTAGGCGTGTCGACCGGCGATCAGCGACAGGCTTCAGCAAGTCGCCTGCAAAAACAAAGCGTGGCTTCGCCCCGCAACAACGGTTGCTAACCAGGCAAGATGGCACACAGAGTTTCCACTAAAATTCGTCTTTGAGCTGATGACTGTGTCCTGCATCACGGGATTAATTTACCTTATGATCATCATACACTCAACGCTTTATTTTTAAACTTTTGCAAGTGGTGTCAGAGTTGGCAGAGAAACATTATATCAAAAAGATGGCTGCCGTGTGTTTTAGCAGGCAGAAAACCCCATCAAAATTCAATCATTCCTTGAACAACTACGTTGTACAGAGGGTCCAACAATATCAATATCCAGGCCATCTTTTCACTACAAACTTATCAAGGCCGCATCACATCAAAGCGACTTGCAACAAAGCTCTGAAAAAAAGTTCGGATATCTTAACCGTTCACTACGGTCAGCTCCAAAAGAAACAAAAGTGTTAACATATAAAACCGTTGTAAGACCTTTACTTGAACATGACACCACTGTATGGTACCTCTACAAAATAGGTGATATAAAACGCATTGAATCCATCCAGAAAAAAAAACATTTGTTTTATATACAGACGCTATGACTGCGATTTCTCACCGTCATCCCATCTAACGCACTTTGGATTAACTTAATTTCTGAAAGACGTGACATTGAGTCTCTCGAACTTTTCCATTTCTTTTTTCAATTCGCCACAATATTCGTCGCACAACAACTTCATAGCGCCTGCCAAAACAACATTCCCCAGAAACAGCCATACACTCAACGTATCTGTGTTTCATCATCACACAGACTTTTTCAAATGCACTTTTTCCCCGATGTACTGAAATGTGGAATACCATGCCAGGTGACATTCGTTCATTAGAAAAAGATGAATTTTAAAGGCACTAGAAGACGGCATACACTAATCCTTACTTCAAGTTTGCAACGTTTATATTTAACCAAGTTTATAGCATTTGTCATAAATATTTCATCTGTAATTGTTTGTATTTATTTCAATTAGTCTCAGCTTTTTTCTTGTATTTTTACTGCTCTGTGCCACTCCTAAGAGAGCCCTGTAACCAGGCTGTTGTCTGTGAAAATTATTTAATAAATAAATAAATAAATAAATAAATAAATAAATAAATAAATAAATACAGTGACTCTGGGTTCAACCAGGAAAGAAGGAAAGCCTTGAACCCTCGCGCCATTTCCCATAGTAACACCCTGCGCGTTTCTTTTTTCTTTTTTTTGTTCAATAAATCAAACAGAAATGATGAAGCAGCATTTGATTACGCCTTCTTGATGCACAGAAGGTTCAAATCGAACCAAATCAAACCATTTTATCCCCCCCCCCCAAAACAGGTTCTGGAGAGGGCCACTGGTTAAAAGCTGTTTGTGATAGTCTTGTATTGTAATAAGCTTGCTTACTTTTGATTAATTGTAGTCGGATCCTCTGACACGATCGACATCATTTTCAAAATGTCCCACTCATGGGGCCCGTTGTGTCATACTTTCAATTTGATTTCTCAATAACACTGCTGTTATTATTGCCATTTTAGAGTTTGTCGCACATTGAGCTTTTACTCTTATATATATTGTTATTTGCGTTTAGGGTCCATTTCATACCTATGTGTTTCTGGTATGTGATATGCATTCAGATTCGCATTATTAGCTGAACTTGTTACCACGATAAGCATAAGACATTACTTCAGTTCCAGCTGAGTTACAATGCGCTAATAATCAATGAATTGTGAAGGGTGTCAACTACATTCAGTATGCCTTGTTTTCCAAACTGCAGGGGCATCCGGGAACTCCTTCCTGAATTTCCCGATGGTCTTTCCTTCTGCACGCGCAAGCAGGCCGTGTCACGACTACTTTCGGCGCCCAGATTAGAAGAGCAGGTCGTGCTAGTGGCGAGAATGTACTCTCGTTTGATCAACGACGCACCCCTAAAGCGAAGCGCGCTTAAAAACTCCCTGCTACCCGCCCTCAAGAGCTTTCACTCGAGACTCGACCACCTTCTGAGTGAGTTTCTTTTACATGCTTGCGTCATGAATAAGACGTAGCTACGCGAGGTTCAGCGCGACGGGCAATAAACGAACTCAGAAACGTCCGAGCTATGTAGTTCTACAGTAAAACTACCATTAGGCCTATGGTACATAACTTTCAAGAAGGAAATTTATCAGCGCTAACCATGAGCGACCAGATAAGAGAAACACCATCTTCAGTTCATGTCTCGTCTTTCCTTCGCGGTCCGACTGGATTAGTGCTGAAAATGTTTCTCCTTGATCATTCCAGTACTCTGCGATGTCAATAATATGGTAACTCTCAACAAGCCTCGCAGCGTATGAATGGCGTAGTTCAAGCATAACTTCAGCAAGAAATGAACCTGCTTTGGTCACAAAATACAGATTATGAACTAAATAATTAATAGTGTCTTTCTAAAAAAATCCTGAAAGGTGGATTCAGAGGAAGCATACCCCTATCACAAAACTTTAAAAATGAAACAATCGACTTTGATTTCCGCTAGTTGGTTTGAACTAAACAGCAGGTAACAAAAAGAAACAAAAATTTTGGTTGAAAGAAGCATTCTGTCATTGCTTCAAGGCATGCCATATTGACACATTGTGTTTCATTATCGTTGGCATTTGTAAATGTATATTGATTATATATTCGTAAAGCTATCATACATCTTCACTTCAGCAGCGTAAGGAAAGCAAGGCTACTGTTCAAAAATTATCTACATTCAGCCTCGTAGTCGTCGCCCCTGCATGTGCTTCCTGACAAGCTTTTCGAAATCATCCGTTTACAACGTTGTGTTCGCGAAGCCTCTCGTTCGTTAGCGCTTTTTTAACACGACAGTGTTTTATGCGCAGAGTCGTATTTCTGACACGGAAATGATGTAAAGAAATATGCATGCTCAGAAGATAAAAACACTCGTCAGGGGGAGTCGAACCCATGACCTTTAGGTTTGCGACAACAGATGATGAGCATGCTTTCCACTTTGTCACGGACACATACTTTATGGACTTTGAAAAAAAATCACAGCATATCCAAGGACTGAATGATGATGAGTGGGGCAAAGCGTCCGTCCGTCCGTTTGTGCATCTGTCCGTCCGTTCAGTTGGGGGGTTGATCTGTCCGTCCGTGCGTCTGTCCGTCTGTCTGTCTGTATGTCCGTCCGTCTAGTGAACATTCCAAGTACCACCATCTCACATCTTTTCATCAAATCTTGACTATACACAAGTGCCACCATCTAGCGGACATACCAAGAACTAAACTCCTCTGTAGCACATACTCGAGAGAGGTGGTTACTACAGAGGCAATCAGGTGACGCCTTAAGGAGCGTCGCCCCTAATACACCTTTAATATCTACTACTGCCCTCTCACAGTGTTCTTCGTAAAGTGTCATAATGCATTGTAGTGTAATCATCATTACTCACAAACCAGCACGCGCCGCTACTTGCGCAGCTCACGCCGAGCTCAAGGTGGGACGAGAACGAATTCACGCGCCTGGCGTTTCGGACAATGGCACCTGCCACCGCTCCGCTTCGCCCCTACCACTCCTACGAATAAAGTGGCCAGATTGGTACGGCCACGTCGGCCACTTTCACGATGTCTACTCAGATCTCGTCTCGACCTCGCTACCTGCATCATAGCCGTGACATCCACAATTAGTTCCTTGCGCGCATCGTTTCTAAGCGTCTGTTCGATTCGGCGCGTTTCCACTCAGAAAAGTCCAGTTTTGTCAACACCCAGGTGGCGACCGTACCGCAAGCGTAGGCTTCCCTCATATTATCCACTCATACCAAAAATAGTTCTGCAATGCCCACCGGCTTCGCCTGGCTTTAATTGGAGTAATACGTTCCCTCTCTTTGTCCATGTGTCAGTGTGCGCTAAAAATAGGTTATGCTTGCTTTGACTCCCTGTTCCCCACCTACACTCTCCCCTGCGAATAATCAGTGGCGCCCAAAGGACAGACACGAAGTGCGCCACGTCTTTCCTATGGTCGGGCAGTGGTGTTCACTAACTCCAACATGCCGCGAGTAGGCTGACCTACACCCGAAGCCACATTGAAAAATATTTTTCTAGGTGGCTTTGCCTTGGCCCAAGTTCAGCGTCCGATAAGTCAAGCTGTTCTGGCTGCCACTTCACTTTCTGTTGTTGCGCTCTTATAACTACTAGAGCTAGCACAAGCATCTATGATCACTAAGGATTTGTTGTAACCAATGGCGGACTTTACATGTCGGGATTAAGATGTGTGACTAAGCATGGATGGGGACGCATCGACGTTAAGCGGTGCTATTGCTCTCAAACACCAAGAGACATTGCGCAAGCTGTCTTAATCAATGTAACATTAAGTATACTGCTGTAAGAATACATCTTTTGTGTTTCACCATTTTTGTGATGGAAGGGTCAACCCCCTTTTTTTATTAGGTCAATATCCTCGCTATTGATATCTCACGTGTCAGTGGTGGGCAAAATTATCTTTTATGAACATTCCTGTAGTAACTAATCTGGGAATACACGTCTATGCCCACTTTCATATGCAAGCTGGTCAAGACTTAAAAGGTGCCAGAATACTCTGAATTCTTGCTGATGCAACGCAGTGTTGTGCTTCAATGACATATTGAATGAAATGCGCGCTGTGTAGTTTACCCTTACATTGAATACGACTCGCCTTATCTCATTTCTCAGTTGTCAATTTAAACTAAAACCTGTAAAGTCACAACAAAGGAACGGGTAAATTTTCTGCAGTGCTCAACTTCTTTCATCCTATTAATTTTACGTACAGAGCCACCAAGAGAATGCATTGAAGGAAACGATGACAACCTCGGTAAGTAGTGTCATTCTTATTTTTCCTTTCTTTTTAGCTGCGTATGAATAGCCGTCGATGCTTTAAACTTAAAGAGAGAACTCTATAAATTACGATAATTGTTCGTCGCGATGTGGTTAACGTTACTCATTTGAATTCAAACCACGTTGCAGTCACCTGTGACACGCAAACAGATGTCCTCGTGCTGCTGGATCCGATTCCTGGCAACAGCATCTACGAGAACTATCAGAAGAAAATTGCCAGGTAGAGATGTACTGTCTGCTTGAATTTGAACCTACAGTCGTAACCTAGCCGAGAGCTTCAGTAGACATATGTAATATAAAGTTTACCAGCTTTTATTCAGTATGTATTGGCGCGAAAATTGTATATAAGCCTACACAAGAGATATCTACTGTGACAGTCTGCAATAATACCAATAATATTTTGTAGTTGCTGTGGTTAATTACAAAAAGTAGTTCGATGACCACAGCTGAATAAAATTTACTTTTTCTGTCGCCAAACGCCGTTCAAATTCATTCGGAAAGTTCCCCATTGTGATTTAAAGTCATCACGGTCTTCAGTTATTTTGGGGCCAAGTGAGATGTCGCGTTGCTTAATTTTTTTTAATTTTTGACAGAATCATCGCAGCTTTATTGCAGCACTGACTTGTCTAAAGCCCATGTGACGTTAGCACACTTCGCGTAAAGACGAGGAGGTGTTCCAATGCCATAAATATCTTATAGGGCTGGCCTGTTTCATAATTTTACACTGCGCCCACAATCTCACCAGTTCACTCTCTCACATGATTGCTCATTCGCCCGCTAAAGTATGGCACTAACGACAGTTGCAGTGAACAAAACGAAACGCGCCCCATTATCAAGTGCGTGTATTAAGCTCGAGTTTGACCATAGATAAGCGCAGGATGGCTGCCAAATAGTCAGATGTTGTCCTTGCCCAGCTGGTCCATAGAAGATCAAAAGGAGTCGCATTCACAAAGCTGTTCGGTCACCACTTCTAATCACCATTCGCTTCGCGGTTTCCCTAAAAGCGTACCTCATATCTCGGCATTCTAGCACTTTCCTGCACAACATGTAAAGCGTAATAATTCCATTGTGTGTACGAAGTGTTAGTTATGTTGGGAGCAACAGTTGCTTCGTCAAATTTATTCTCACAGTATATGGGGCGCTACCGCTCTCTTCTTTCGTTCAAGCTACATGGCCGAGAGACTGCTGAAAACAGGAAGCCAGCACACAGCGGTGAGCTTGTCGCCGGCTGCCCTGAGCGAAGACGCCAGCGAGCTAGAGCTGGCGTACAACTCGCGTCAAGACACCGACGCTTCGCCATCTTGTGCCATCGAGAACATGGCAGGAAAAGGTGACGCCACCGTTCTTCCTCTTTCTGTCGCTGTTTTAGATGCGGAGCATCTTATACTCGCGCCTTGTAGTGCGCCGTCCGCACCGCTTCTCGAACATTCGACAGCTGACGCGCGCGCATGCGCCGTCGCGCCGTCGCCCACTCTTCCACCATCTGTGCATCCCTTCCTCCTCTACACACCGCGCGCGCTTCACTCCTCCACCATCTGTGCACCCTTCCTCCTCTACACACCGCGTTCGACATCTACAATTCTCCTGATTCTCCAGTGGACGCGCATGTGGCGTCGCGCTTCGAGAACATTCAACAGCTGACAGTGCATGCGCCGTCATGCTGTATAATATACTCAAGGTCGGCGCTCGCTCGCTCAGTTGCCGCTCGTCGGTTGGTTTGTACGGTGCGTCGACGTCCAAGGTCGCGGTGAAATGAATTCCAACGAATCCACAAACACAATGATCGACGTCCCTTCGACCAGCGCCGCCCTTTCGCATACGTGTGTACGTGTTCACTCATTTAACACCCCCTCCTACAACCACGTTAACCAATTTAGCCATCGACCCAAGTAAGTCGCAATTTAACACCCCATTTCACAACCACGTTAACCAATTTAGCCATCGACCCAAGTAAGTCGCACTTTAACACCCCGTTAACCAATTATATGGTCCGCATCCTCCTCAGTGTTCCCCCGAGGGAAGCTTCGGGCAATTTTTTCTTCGTTTTCTCCTTTTCAGCGTAGGATACCTAACTCGGCTCTGTTCGGGCTTTTCCCAGCGTTTCTTTTTTTTTAGGAGCGAAGCTCCTTAGGTTCTCACAATGCCCGTTGCTGCCGTCGTCGTCGTAGCTCGCCGTCGGATCAAAACACGAGTGTTGCATCTACAATATGCATGGAGCGCTCATGGCGCGCCTATGGTTTGAAAATAGACCTCACTCTGTCGGTCCGTCCATCCATCCGTTCATTATACAAATAGGCATAGTGAACTCGACAATATGGACCTGCAACGTAGATCCTATATGAACCTTCGCTTAGTTATCATCATTCACTTCGGGGATCTGCATCCATTTTTTTTTCTGTCACCATTTGTTCTCTCATTTATTGCTATCAGGCATCACACTGCAAAGACACCTATACATTTTGTGCAACTGTTATGCGCACATAATAGAACGTTCATTCAAGCCGCTTAAACTCCTTAAAATTATATGCAAGTTATACTTAACTATTTGAGTGCTTATACAGAAATCTTGAAAAGGGAAATTTTGCTGAACTGTTGTATGCTGCAGACCTGTATTGACAATGCATCGGGGCAAGGAAGAAAGACCTGGCGACCTGCTCTGAACGAATTTTTTTTTTCACATCTGGTTATTATGTAACCCCTTTGTAACACCCCTTTTGGGTCTTTAAGGTAAATAAATGAAATAAGATGAGTTGGATCAGTCGTGCTTGAAGGTGTTGTCATTAGAGACCATAGCTATAGTTTTGCTAAATTATTGTGTGATATCAGCTCGTCTAATGTGCGCGTTACGAAACCGCTGAAGTGTTTGCGTACTAAAGTAAAAACTATACTTGGCGTAAATTCTTGGCTACGTTAATAAATTCGGCTTTGCATGACCAGCCGGGTGGTCGTGTGTGAAGGAGGGGAGAGGATAGATGGCTGCGTCAACGTTTTCACTCGCTCAAGAGCAGCGGCTTTTGCGAATTGACAATAGCTCGAATAGGAAACATTCACGCACGGACCATATACCCACCAATCATCGCAGCATTCATTTATTTAGGCCAAGCATTTCCAGGCGAAATCATCGCCAACGAATTGCAGTTGCCACTACAATGGGTGAATTAGCCTGATGGACTAACTTTGTGCTTCACTGCCCCCTAAGTGTCATGCAACGGGAATTGCATAACAAAATCTTATGATAAATGTGGCGGTATTGCGTGTCAAGACCACGACATAATTATTCGGGACGCCTTAGTAGAAGGCTCTGCAAATGTTGACCACCTGGAGTTCTTTTGCGTGCACCTAAATCAACGTACAAGGGCCTCTAAGATTTCACCCTTATCAAAATGTGGCCGCAGCGGCCAGGATTTGACACCGTGACCTTGGGGTCAGAAGTCAAGAATCATAATCAGCAAACCAACTTGGCGGCATAAGAAAATCTGCGCCCGTATTTCCACAGAACACGGGCCGGATCGATCAGAATATTTCTTACGCAAAAGAAATACTCTTAGGACAACACTTCAGCCAGTATGGTGGTCAATGTATCATTACCAAAACTGACCCGCTTATGGCAAGCAGCACTTAGGAAAGGCAACTGCTTGTGAAGCCCCTGGTGTCTCTTTGGGAAAACTCAATGCCCACAAGACAGGTTTATTGTTTGCTAAATAAGCTCTCAATGCGCTATGTGAGTGGGCGTGTAGTGACATGTTCCGTACTTACACCATTCGCTTATAGGCTGCTCGCAGTGCACGGAAGTGGACATATGGCGAGCAGTGCACAAGACTTGGGATAAAGCTCAGACCACGAGGACAGCTCAGCTATCCACTGTCTCCATCAAAGGTATGAGGAAAAAAAGAGACAAAATGCAGTGACTGCTTTGAATTGCTTCGCCACAACTTCATTCAGTGATTGATATCTATAAGGCCGTAGCATAAGCTGGTTGTTAATAAAGCGAATGACAAAAGGCGTACGGGACTGCTAGGGCAGAACTCTTGCAGGGCTTCTTCGAAGTCGTCGCCTCTATTTATCAATCGCGATATTTCAATAATTGATTAGTGATTCTAACAAATGATTTCTGTCATATAGTTATATGGCGCAATTTTATTACTACTATGGTAAACAAAACAAAAGACTGCGATTACATGCTACGCCGAGCAGCTCATATGTATAAACGACTTGTCCAGCTACATAAAGTGTTCCTCAGAGACTTCGAAACTATGTTCATCTGGGTTGCTTTGCTTGACGTCAGTTCAATACCTTGCGGATTCTACACTATATTTTGGCTCACATTTGTAGAATACAAGTCATTTTAATGGTATTCTATATTCCAGCCTCTCAACTTCTCTCGCCTTCACTTCACGCGAGTATTGTTGTATCTTGAGCAACCGTTCGAGTTTCCATTTGATTGCCTGGCCATAAAGGCTTTTTCTGGACAGCGCTTTATCCTGCGGCACTCAATTATCATCATTAATTGTTTATTGCTACTCATTAGTAGTGCTGAGTCATGACGGCAACGTTTGCTTTCGTATTCGTTCGCCTTCGTATTGTGTGTGTGCGTGTGTGTGTGTGTGTGTGTGTGTGTGTGTGTGTGTGTGTGCGTGTGTGTGTGCGCGTGCGCGCGTGTGCGTGCGTGTGTGTGTGTGCGTGTGCGTGCGTGCTTGTGTGTGTGTGTGTGCGTGCGTGTGTGTGTGTGTGTGTGTGTGCGCGAATATTGCTGTCGCATTCTGGTTGCTCAGCAAAATGGGGGAAAAACTTTTTCAAAAAGCTTTCAACAAATCCATCAAGAAACTTTTACGCGTACGTTCAATTAAGACCTTAAATCGACACGCTACCCTTGCCAGTCTTGTCAGCGTCCCACAGATGACCTCATTTTGGCCTCTGGCAGTGTAAGCAGCTTGATATATGGTGGGAAGATACTTCATAAGGTCCCGAAGGTCGACCCTGGGTTAACCCGTACCACACTTATGTAGGGGCTGGCGAGCCAGTGTCGTCATTCATACTTTGCATTATTTTATTAGCCGCGCGCACTTGAACTTTATGAAGTGCTTATCAGACAGTGAAAGTGAGCGCACTTCTTAAATGAGTATATTTTGGGCAGCTCGTCCCTGACGCTACCAACGCTGGACGCCGACAATCATATTTTGCATTTTGTGAGCCATCTAAGGTTATCTTAGGCCTTCGCCTTAAAAAACGGTGTTGTGCCGTGAGTAGCATGTTCGGAAGGGCACTTTCAATGTTGCGAGACGGTGAAGATAAAGCGCTAGAGACAACCAAAAACGAGAAAAATCTGGCATGATGACATCAAGCCGAGCCAACTAATAATAGTCACGTGAATTTAGGGAACGTAAAAAAAAGGTGGCCCCGTAGCTGCATTTTTACTGCAAATATCGTCGAATGACGATAGGCTTCCACCTGCATAGAGTTAATGGAACAATTATTTGATTTTCGGCGCGAGAAATTCGGTGGATGGGATTCTGGATGCGTTGAGTTAAAGTGCCTCTATGCGCGCAGCGGGTAGGTGCCGCTACCGTATCGTATTAACCAAGCGCAAGATACACCCGCCTTTTCGTACATATCGTTGCATCGTGAGCTTAGCGTAATGAACGCTATGTTCCTTACAAATATACATGTGTGACATCCAAATTTTTTTAGAAGAAACACGCCACAATATATTGGTGTGTTGACGTGCGGTTTCAGATATGCGCACCGTTTGTTTTTTAATTGAAATCAAGCAGAAGTATTGACGCAGAAACTAGAGCAATATTGGTGGGCGCAGCGTTTGCGGTTGGATTTTAGAATAAAATGCGAACTGAATTAAAGGCAAAAATACCAGCCGCTCCGGGGAGCAATCAGACAAGTCGCCAGACCGGCAAACCGAACTTTTTGCGTCCGAGTATCCCAAGAAAGACTCCAGTCTTTCTGTAAAGTTCTGTAAAGTTCTGTAAAGTTGTAAAGTTCAGTCTTTACAACACAGCTGCATCACAGAAATTGTATGTACAATAATACCTGTTGACTGATTATTTTACATTTATTTTTTCTGAATTCTGAATTCAAAACATAATAGTTACATTTCTAGCGTGATGAGGAACTGATTCCGTAGCGCATAGATCCACACTATCGGAGTCGTGTTGAGAAGCATCCTTTTCTTCACGTGGAGGTGACCTGTCACTGCTGAAGTCGAAGCGCTGTCTTTTATATGCGTGGCTGTCAAATCATCATCGCCATGCTGTGAAGTCGCTGCCTCCACGTGCAAAAAAAAATAATAAAGCGTACTCTCAGCAGACAAGCGACGTACTTCTGATGCACTTGAACCTTTTGGCCCCGTTACTTTCCAGAACTCGGCAGTAGAGCCAGCTGTTCTAGTAGAGAGTTTCTGTTTTTCTTTTTTTTTTTTTTTGCCGCATGCTCATGTATTTCGGGCAGCCCTGGTAAAATGGCAGGCACAACATTCGAGTGAGACAGGGGTTTTTTTGTGGGTGTGTGCGTTTAACAGGACATTTTCCTGGTATTCTGCTTAACATGTGGCAGGGGTCGCTTCTTCCGGAAAATGCTTCGCTCACACATGGTCAGTAGGCTGCAAGGCACTGTCAGCTCTCGGAACTACCCGTCGCCACATATATTAGCGCCCTAGTTTACACGGAGCCTTGAAAAACTACCCACTCTCCGTACAAGTCCGATACCCCGACGTGTTGTAATTCGGGTAAAAGCACCACTTGACCATTTTGAGTTGCAGCCAGTGCTAAGGCCGCTGGCGCATACTCGGAGCGATATGCAGCGTCCAGTTATACATCCACTGAATCACCAAGGGGAATCAGCAAAACAAATGCACTGGCAGCTGCTCACAGGCACAGAGCTATGCATTTCTAATTCACTAAATCTCATGCGCACAAAAGAAGTTCTTTTGTGCGTGAATTCAATAACGTACACCGGCCATGCACATACCTAGCGCCCCATACAGTAGCGCCATCTTAATTCGTGCGACAACACTCACTCGTGGCTCAAGGTGATCGACGAACACAATCTGCCCGTGCCCACTCGTAACGCAGAGCGGCGAGTGTCAGCAGCTTTTTCTTACACCTTGGTAAAGTATGAAAGTTACTTTCACTGCATTTCCAAGCAGAAGAATTTATTTCCACTGTATTCGCAAGCAGAGGCGTGACTGTATGTTAAAACACCCACTTTCCACCTAACCGACCCGGGTTCGATTGTCACTCAAAGCCAGCTATTTTTATTATTCATTTTATTTGCGTCTTTTTCGAATTTCTGGTCATGCACAAGATGATCTTTCGCTCAAAACCGACGACGCCGAAACTGACACCGATGCCGGAATTTCTGTCAAATGAGCTCTTTAACGCTGTAGCATTAATATTTGTTGATCAGAATCGCTCGCGAGATAGTGAAACATTTGGTTGTCAAACATATCATAATCAGCTGTTCTAGGCAATTAGGGGAAGTAACTTAATGACAAAACGGATTCGTAATCCACCTTCGGACACATGGTGTACATGATCGTCACTCACCGCTACGTTCATCTAACAATGACTGCTCAATATCATTGAAGAAAACTGTTTACTTATTTTCGGTTGTTTGTCGCAGACACAGCGCACAATCAAGGCGGCAAAAGTTACCTCTTCAAGTTTGTCAACGCGTCTGGTAACAGCGAGTGTAGAAGCAAATTAGATATTGCTACCCGCATGTAGCTGCTCTTGTTTTAAATCAAGGACTGCATTAAGTGTATGAAAAGTCGTCACACCACAATGTTTCTCACGCCTTTTTGTACGACTGTGAAAACTATGTAATTAGCGGATGCCATACTCCAGTCTCTTCACGTGGTAACAGAGATGATGATGATGAGTGGTTTTTAATGGTGCAAGGGCCAATTGATGTCCAAAGAGCGCCATTTCAAAATTCTAGATATATGAACAATGATATGATATGTGGCTGTAAAAGGGCCTTGAAATTCCTCGCGCGAACGCGGGTAAAAACATAGAAGCATTAAAAGCATAAGATTGACGTGAAATATGTGCAGTAATACTAAATGATGAGACGTGGTGATAGTGGGACAGTGACGAAAATGCATCCACCGTGGCAGCGACCTCTCTGCAGCACGTGGTAACAGTGCATTGCAAAGCCATATGGTACCGAAAAGGAGGCAAAACAAGTGATAGCTGAACGAACACTAATCTTTGGGGTTCTCATACGAAGCTACCTTGCCCGCAGGTCGTGGTATACTTCAAGTTCAGTTCCTTCCGAGAAAGTCTTGAAGACGTACACTCAGTGGTACAACACCTACGAGAAAAGCATGAAGGTAAGTATTATACTGGCTGCATACGTGCCACACCTGAAATACTTCATATATATATATATATATATATATATATATATATATATATATATATATATATATATATATATATATATATATGTAAAGTGCCCTTTATTAAGCATCTGCATGTGCAGACTCACTACAACGAACCCGGACATGGCTCCACAGAATGACTGCATGCTTCGGGTGCTAAAAGGCATTCTAAATGCGAACAATTTCTGTGTGAACCTAAGCACACTAAGCGTTTTTATCTATCTATCTATCTATATGTATGTACGTATATATGCACATACGTACGCACTTATGTTCGTACCTATGTATGTATGTATGTATGTATGTATGTATGTATGTATGTATGTATGTATGTATGTATGTATGTATGTATGTATGTATGTATGTATGTATGTATGTATGTATGTATGTATGTATGTATGTATGTATGTATGTATGTATGTATGTATGTATGTATGTATGTAAGACCACTTCAGGGGCATAGCCTATTACAGTGCTATAACGAATGCCTAGCTGGCGGTCAAACATACTGCCTGTTCCTAAATGTTGCATTGCGGGTACGATTTTTCGGCGCCCTTTTTTAGCTCTGATGACTTCTTTACCGCCCTCACAGATCTGAAGATCTTCACAGTGGGGCCGAGGACAGACATCTTGCGCGCTTTCAAGCACGGGCCCCGCGACTCCGTCGTGGTCATTCCGAACTCAATGGACGACGTCCTGCTCAGGCGAATTGCACGCGAGCTCACTGAAGAGGTTTGCCGAGGTGCGCGTTTATTCGGGTCAAACAGAATGTTCCATATAAGCTTAAAACGTGTGGCCTATTGTCTACACATTCTATAAGTAATAGGGATTCCGTGCACGATTAGCCTTGAGTGGAAAATAAATTATGAACAAGGAGATAAGTAAATCGACCTCTCAAAACTATGGCCACAATGTACGAAATCCTTTCATGAAGACGTTATCTTTGACGCTTGAAATGTAGAACTGAGTTACCACTTGGACATTTTTTTAAGAAAGGATGCATATTTCTGTACCATAATAGAAACGCTAAAGCATGTGCTGGCATTTGATGTGAACATTGGTTCCTCCTGCATATACCACGTATTACCGATGCATTGAAATTATTACTTCTTGCTTTCAATTTGGTGGTGCTTTGCCTTCTGGGCTGCATGATGATGGCTGGTAGTACTGAGAGTAAGCTTCCGTTTAGAAAGCAGCGAACTGAATGTGGAGCACCGGTTGGCTTCTCAAATTAGCCACCTAGTTTAAAAGCCTAATGTTCCTAAGTTACCTGCGTTCATTTTCAAGAGTTTCTTTATAAGAGGCAGGTTTTAAACGTAAACGCTAGAAACGTGCAACGAAGGAGAAAAACGCCAATGATCAATGCTGACCACTTAAGCGTAAAGCTGTATTTTGCCATTCTTATTGGAAAATATACGCACTTATCACCGTTTGCCCTTTCTCTTATATACTTTTCGTATCCGCGATTACGGGCGTCTGTTCTGTGTGTTTAGAAGAAGTTGTTAACGATTCAGAGTACTAGGTACTCTGTATCTGATGGGAGAGCATAAAGCCGTCCCAGATACCTCTTACAAACACGCACACTCTGTGTTTTTAAGTAGGTGGAGGAATGTTATTCAGGCATAGTTCAATACGTTCTGCGCCGTATGATTCTGTACAGCTAGACAGCATCAGTATGAACCATGTATCTATTCAGACTGTGGTTTCCTCTGTGCTGCACAGTTGTTCTGTACAGGAGTAAGTGTCTAAATAAGTCCTTTGTTCCTGTTCAGACGTCCCGTGCAACACATTTCGTTTCCATTGATCGATCCAACCGGTGCCTTATTCCTTTATGACAACCGCCTCAACACAGCACGCCCTTCAGTATAAGAGTTTTGAAGTGATGGCGTCGCGCTGCCTTGATTTTTCTGCAGCTCCGATGGCCATCTTGTGTCACGAATGTCAGCGTTCATCAGTCGGGCGTGCTTCAGACACCGTAGAGGACTTCCAAGCACCGCTAACAGTTCGGCACTGGGCCGTGTATCCAGGACAATTCAACGACGTTCCTCGAGTAGTGAATATTACAGTAAGATTACCGTCTTTTTACCGACTGCTATAGAGTTGTGCCCATTAAGATCATTCAGACACTTCTAGCTGCCTCCTTCAGTTTTTTCTTTGTTTTGATCGTCTTATTTCTTCCGGAGGCATTTTTCTCCGTTTTGACTGCGTTCTTTCTTTGTGTAGTACATTTATTATTGTTGTTCTCCTTTGGTTCAAGGCTACAGAGCCTAACCACCTAACACACATTTCTATTCGACAAGGGAAGTTGAGATACTCAAGACAGAGGACGGAGTGTCTGTGAATTGATTTGCTTTCGGCATGTGCTTGGGGGCTATGAGCTTCGTTCATTTCTCTAGCATATACGCAGTGGATGGGAGCGATGTTCCGGTGATGGCCAAGGACGGAGCTGAGGAGTTAATGTCAACTGACGTTAATGAAATCACCTAAATCAGTCTACCACTTCAGAAGAGCTTTTATTGAGGCAAACTCGTGCTGAAAGCTGAACATCCAAAAATATTATGCATACAAAAACGTACGCGCATATGGCATTCGGTGTGGGTAGAAATAAAAATTAAGGCCACTTCGCAAAATAGTGCCTAACCTGAACTAACAAACAGGGGATCTGGGTGTCTTGCTTGTTTGTCTTTATTTTTCTCTTTCATTATTTCTTCCGCAGTTTGAATCATTCCACCTGCCGATTAAAGTCTGCCTTGTCCGCTTCGATTCGAATGGCACCAAAGTGGCAACGTACAGCGAGCTTTGCCAGGAAACGGGAAGCAAAGGTAAGATGTGCGCGACAAGCTTCAAGCTGATGGCATTTCGACCACCCGGAGTTCTTTAACGTGAGCCTTAATCTACACACACGGGCATCAAGCATGTCTGCCTTCATCGAAAATGTGGCCGCCGCCACCTGGATTCGATCCCGCGACCTGCTGGTCAGCAGCCTGCAGTGCCATAGCTACTGGACCATCGTTGCGGTTTCGCACTTACGTGTTTAAAAGTATAGGCCTGATTTACGAGGTGCATGAAGTTAAAATAGGCAGTGTTGGGTCAGTAGATGCATAGCTTCGTGAAACTACAAGAGGTGAGTTTAAAATGAAACAAAAAGGAGACGAATAGAGAGAAATAAATCTAGTTGGGCCTGGGAGTTCTTCCTAACAATATTTTTCATCCCATTCGTAGTCTTGAGACTTGTCATTTCACGTGCATGAGGTTGCTCGCGCCCGGCTTCTCCATCCATTTCCCATTCATGCTTAGTTACCTAGAAGCGTCAACTACAAATTGCACTTTGATCAAGACTCATAAGCACACTTTTGGAGTCAAGCATTCGTCGATACACTTTTAAGTTTTGACGACAGCAGTGATGGGTTCGTTTTCTGGTAATGGTAATCATTATTAGAATTCTAAACCCCGAAACCACGATATCAAATGGAAACATCGTAGTGGAAGGCTTCACAAATTTCAACCACCTGAGAATCTTCGAAGTTCGAGAGCATATAAGCACACTGACCGCCGGTATTTTGCCTTGGTCCAAGATGCCAGCCGGAGAGACCGAAATTTCATCCCGCGAGGTTCCGGTCAACAGTCAAACACCGTAATCACTGGACCACCACGACGAGAGTGTTTATCCTCAGTGCCTCTCAATGGGACCGCAGGTAAAGTTCGTGCGGCTTTCACACCACCTGCCTCCAGCGACACCGTCTAACCCCCGTATTCTAGAACACCCCTTCACTCAACGCTCAACCTTAAGTTGAGAAAGCCGATGGGAGAGCCATCTGTAGGCAGGGAAAGTCACTGCATATAAGTGATAATTTGCTTCTATTCTTGAGTAGCGCCGCGTCATTTCAGCCGAGCAGCAGCGCAGTGCACAACTCTGTCAAGTGAAGGGTGAAAGTCGAGTCGAGGAGCGTTTGTGAATACGGGGGTGAGTCATCCCGCCCTCTCACCCCTATTTTATGTAACAGCAAAAGCTATGCGCTGCATAGAGTAGAACCATTTAAAATTGCTATCAACATAAAAAAACACTTTGCGCCATGTAACAGCGCCATTCAGCCATAATTATAATTTGAAAAAATTAAAAAAACAAAGAACGTGGCTCCTCTAGCAAATAGGATTCCACCAGAACCGCGTAAATAGGTTTATAATAACATAAACCAGGAACTTCCTGCGTATTGGGTATCGTTCACATACACCAGAGAGTCATGTACAAGCCACGTCTTTTACATTACTATGTTTTAGACATTTTGATAAGAAGCTACTGTGTGTGCATGCATGCCCATTTTGACAGTTCTCCGCATAATGTTTTGTCTTGCAGTGAAAGCCATTCGCTACAGCGTGAGGAAAGTATGCGCTAGCGAAGAATCTTCAAGCTGTCACTCACTGCAATTTTCCGTTACGGCGTTACCAAGAAAAGCAGGTGATCCTTTCTTGGAGTGCGCGGGTGAGTGACTATGCTGCATCCATCAAATATTACTTAAGCGAGCATCATGACCGCATATTCATACACTGTTTGCACCCTCTAAGAAACAAAAGAAGTTATTTGACTCCTTTCCGGTAGTCCTGACGTGCCACGTACATGACTCTTCTTATAGAGATACGTCCATTCTCTTATGAGGGTCACTATACCTTCTTCTGACTGTCGTTTTACCCACAAGAGAGTTAACTTGCTTTTGTAAGAAAAGTCATATACGCAGCATGTCAGGACTGCTTGAAAGAAGTCAAAGGACCCTTTTTTTATTTTGGATGAGAAGCAGCTTGTGAACGAGGCCTGTCCTCTGCCACGCCGTAGCCGCCACTGATGATGACTATGACGAAGAACAATTACGTTTCAGGCCACACATTATCTTTCTGCCATTCAGCACAGCACATGCAAGGTGCCCACTATACGCCACAACGATGATCATGACGCTGATGACGATGGTATCACACATAACGGCTGTCTTCTGCAGTAGGTGACGTCTCAATATGCTCTACGAGGCATTTCGCGGGGCTGTAATTAACCGAGAACCACCAGGGGAACGTACACCGATTTCGTCTACGCCAACTTCAGGATAGATTTGGACGATATCACAAAGCCGCAATAACGAAGGCAAATTGAAATTCACAACAGCACACAAAATACTACTTATGACCAACAAACCTTGTGTATAACTTTACGACGCATGGCACTCGTTTACATGTGAAGACCTCTATGTGACGGGTGATTTACAGCCACACCAAACAAAACCACTTGCTTTGCCCACCCTTAATTATTCACCTCATGGTTATGCCATAATTTTTTGTTGCAGCGTATATCTGCATAACCATCTGTGATTACCTGGTCGCGCCTAGAGCACAAGCATTTCGCCAAATGGTCCTTGCTCAATTCTTCACCGCTGTGTCATGCTGTTGAGGAAGCTTCGCGGAAGAATCAGTTTCAAGGATGTTCTCACGTTTTAGCTATGCAGTTCCCCGTGTAACAATTCACCTGAGCGACTGTACCAGTCATTCTGCATGAAAACTCACGCGCATAGCATTTTTGCTGGCAATATCAAGTTTCCAGAACTCTCCGTTTGTACCATCGACACTACTTTCCTAGTGTACAGCGTCGTACATTCCTATACCCCTCTACTGAATGACTATATATGTATATAATTACACGCCCGATTTTCTACTTGCGTAATTAGGTAGTTGCCAACCATTTATTTTATAGCCGTATATGAGAGCGGACGAAGTTTTACACGGAGGTTAAGGTATGATTTGTAACGTGTGCGCGTTATTCTTCTGTTTTTCCTTTAGACCCTGGTTGCCAGCTTCCCGACCAAACGAAAATTCTGATCACTTATGAGAGTAAGTATATTTTTGTCATGTTTCCGAACGCTGGTGATTTCAATCCACAGGTGTAAAGAATCCACCGACATAAAGTGTAATGGCGAGAATATACTTCGGTGTAATCTTCGTGCTGCCAATTTGCATGCTGTTGCTCGCTCCACTTTTCAACGTTCATCTCTCGCACTAGAAAATGCCTTAATCACGGCTATTCTAGAGCCGCGTTGCACAAAATGTTAGTCTCCTTTCCTTACAACTTAGTTCAAAGTCTCATTCTGGCTTTCTCTCTTCCCCCTTTCCTCCCTTTATTTCTTCTCACAGTTGATTTCCACTCTGGCCAGGACAAACTTTTCTCCGGGATTGAAGAGCGCATCAATATTCCTTTACCTTCTCCTGACACACCGCAGTTGTTGCAGAGGGCACTCAGTGCTAAGTGCTCGAAGTATATTCAGCTGAACGGCACTAACCATTCAGAAAACGGCCACTATTTCGCGCTGAGCCTGAGCTTCTTTGTCGAGCTTGTTAGGAAGATTGAGGCGGCGTATCCCCAAAGGAACCTATTTGACATCGCCGCCCTACTACTCAATTGGTAAGTAGTGAAGCTGGTCTGTATGTATAATGCAATGGTTTTCATTCATTACCCTGTCATTTTCTTCAGAATGATACACTTCGACTAAAAGCCAAGGTCAATCACAACGACGCATACTCTTCCACACGGCATCACATTGTAAAACCACAAATATCTTAGAGTGCGCTGCGTGAGACAGATGTCCTAAACGCGCTTTGTCTGTACTGATCAGACAAACGGAGGTCTTGTTCAGTTTGTTTGGATAACTTTCTTCTATCATACCTCATTCGTGAAGTTACTGCATCGGGTATTTCTTGTGTAGCTTTGATTACTTTTTCCATGAAAACGTGAAGATCGTTGGGAAAACATTTATTGCTGTCCCTGTCCTTTGAACTGTAGGCAATCGTACGCGCATTACAATCATAATGGGCATGTCGTCCTCGTGGGACGTCAACGTGGTTTCGACTTGTATATTTAAAGCAGTCCGCCTAAGCCATGTTCAGTAATATATTTCTTCGTTGTCATTTTGGATGATAAACGGCACACATTTTTTGTCAGGCTGACTTAGCAAAAGCTCGAGCTTTATTTCTTCCATTTTAAGTGTACTGAAACCAAGGTTGAAAAAAAGTGATTGCGCTTTCGCATAAAATTCCACTTTTTGTCCTGCTTTCTTCTAGAAGAATATACCTTGCTTTAGAGTGCCGTGCAGCGTTCATTACTTATACAATCATGGTATTTCCTTTTTTGTAAAATGTTGCAGGTTCACAGAGAGTGACTATGACCTTTGCGGACGGCAACAAGATTGGCCGAGACCTGAGTGAGCAAATGACCTTGGAGTCTTGGCTGAGCCCGTGGCCTCGGGGCTTGGGAGAGCAACCAATGACTTTCAACAAGACCATCCTCACCGAGAGCGAGATGTGCGCGCTCTTCCTCATGCTCCACCACTCGTTTCACGAGAACAGGTGGGCATCCCTGATTTCGATCAACGCTTCAAATATCGCAAGGTATGCCTTATCTCGAACGAAATGTGACCATCGAAAGAACAAGGCAAGACTACTACGCGATGTCTGTTCGAGTCATTATTTGATCTTTCTTTTTTTTCAGGAGAACGAGGACTCATTTCTCCCTAGTCTGAAAATTCTTGAGTAGTAATTTTCTCAGCGATGTTACAGAAAGGTTCCAGCACGAGCAAAGTGTCGTAGTTTTTTTTTTTTTTGACTGCCTTAACATATATACCTTGTGTTACTTACGTCACATTTGTACATATTTCGTCACCCTTCGTTTTCTGAATGTGGGCCACACCGAGTAGTCAGCGGTTATGGTGTTAAACTGCTGACCGGAAGGTCGCGGGATCGAAGCCGGATCCGGCGACTGCATTTTCGCTGGAGGCGAAGGTACCAGAAGCTCGTGTGCTTCGATTTAGGGGCATGTTAAAGAACTCCAGGTGGTCGGAATTTCCTTGAGATCTCCGCTACGGCGTCTCTGATAATCATGTTATGGTTTTGGGACGTTATACTTCATCAATTATTATTTTGTGAATAGCTTTGATTGCACTTAATAGCGTTTCTTTAACACGTTGGTGCTAGTGTTTTTGTTTTTTTAGTATTGCTCACGCCCAATCAGTCTCTCCATGCAGTGCTTTTCATTAAGTCAATCAATGAAATGAATAAATGAAATGTCGAGCACTGTTCAAAAGAAAGAGAAACAGCCTCCTAAACATTTTGAGCTCTTCCACAGCTTTTCTTAAGTTTAAAAAAATATTAAACTTGAGTAGCCTCATTGTCAAGAATTATCTCACTGGCGAAATTGCCTGATCAGGCCGCATGCCTCCTTGAAGTTTGTATTTTTTACCTAGGTCAATCCACTGATTCGGAGCACTACAGAAAAGCGGAACATTACAAAAAACTACAAAGTTTGGCTGACTGTTTTATGGATATTACCGGATATTCAACGGATATCTTACGGCAAGGACGACCACTAGCTGTTAACATTGCACGTCGTAAGCTGATGTGCTTTAAATAATCGTGGAAGCCTTAATTTTGTGAAAGACCCTCTTCTCCCCCCCCCTCCCTTACTTTTTCTGATAAATCGATCGTACTCTTAGTATTAGTAGCGATGCACTGCATTCTCGACTGAACATGAAAATCAACGATTACTCGGAGGTTGCCGTGAGACATTTATAAAAAGTCAACACATTTGACTTTAGGAGCACGTTAGCCACTATTGTAGTCATTTCAATATACCTTGCTTAGCAGGAAACAATGCTGCCAAGTGACCACTAAATTCTTACTATCTGTACTTGTCGTTATTCAATATTTCCAAAATTATTTTTTTAAGCTTGTCCTATGCTAGGTGAGCATGTGCAATAAAGTAAATATAAATAAAAGTTTTCACATCCGATATTTGTCACTTTTTCTAACTAAAAATTACATGGTGCCACTAATTTTCCTCCCCCTCCAGGGACAATGACAGCGTCTACACCATCGAGAAGGGTGTGGCGCAAGTGAGCTGGGAATCCCCGAAGATTGCCGTGGCTGTGGCCAAAGTGCTGCAGGGAATCATGGTCGGCATGATCCATAAGGCGGGAAACCTTACCGACGTTTGGCAAGCGGACGAGCCCGCGAAAGACCCTCGAGTACCGCCCGTTGACCCCTTATTGTCTGCAACCATCGGCGGTTTGTACTTCCTTTCTTCTACATTCCACTGTAGGCGCTAGAGCGCGGTAGGCGAAGTTAAACATTGGTGCTGTCTCGGTCGGTGAGCTTTCATAGTGGCAGGAACGTGCGAATGCTGTGAATATCCTTATTGTGGCTGCTCCGACAATACGCCTTATTTTAAAGTGTCCCTAAATCTGTAGGCTGCAAACTTTGCTACTAAAAGAATGCAGTCTGCTTCGACATAGTGTTGCATTCTAGATAATTTTTTTCAATTTCGAATACGTTGTCCCTCGACGCGACCACACCTATAGCGTTCTTCTAACTTTTCGTCAATAAATAACATGGCTTTCCAATTATGCAGATAATTACTGGGATTCGTACGTTCATTATGTTGGTGTACTTTATCAATTTGTATTGTATTTCCACTTAGTCTTCCTGCGTTCGATTTCTATTTGCATTCCTCCTTTCCTAATGGGCAGAAAGGTAACTGTTGTCAGCCCACTCCTGTTTTACTTTTTTTACTTTTTTTTGTTGGTTTTTCTATAACAACTGTATTTATAGCTACAGCCATAAACAATCCTCAACACACTCGTATGTCTCGACAGTAACTATAAAGACTGTAGCACAGCAATTTTCGCTAATAAGTATAGGGCCGCCGTTTTAATTACCACTTTTTAAGGCTGGGTGCCGCGCGAGCAACGACAGTGCGGAGAAAAAATATAAACATTTGCGTGCGCCACCTGCTACATAATTCATGTAGCCTGACTCTCCTCGCGCACGTGTTAAACTTGCAACCATCTACTCAAGGGAGGTATAAGCAAAACAGTGCAAAATGAACGAGGACCAAGTTGCCCGTTTCTGAATTCTATTCAGGGTAACTTCTACTAATCGAGGTAACAGTTGCTCGGTTCCATCCTTTGACGATCAAATTTCATGTGTTAAATATGAGTGTACCTTCAACAAACACTTACAATTTGAACAACCAATTTCTCATGCCGACCTCATTTGATACCATTATACGAACCAGCCAATACACAAGTTCATATTCTCAGATTCTTCCATTTCTCTATCTTTAAAACTCCCCCATTCCTTTCTCGTGTGTAGGGTAGCATACTAGTCCTCATACACTGGTCAACAATACTGCCTTTCCTTTGTTTCATGTTCCTTCCTACCTTCGACACCTGTTCTATCCTTGATGCAAAAAACGGCGCACATATTTCACGCCAAAGCAACGACATGTTATCTGTACGGCTACAATAAGGCACTGCCTTAAAACTTCACATTTCCAGCGATAAAGAACTCACTAACACATTTTTCACATTTATGAAAGCCTTGAACGCGTAACCATGATTGTCGTCGTACGAGACCTCTGTATATAGTGTCTCTTCAGCTAATCACTCTTTCAAAACATTCAACTTGTCTACAGTTGTACTGGCTGTGTCTTCGGTGGAGAGCTTGCTACATCACCATGGTGGAAGCGTCATCGGTTACGAAGGAGTCTGGTTCGGAGAGTCGTGTCCCGGCGCCTACAGAACGGGAGGAAAGCGACACTGGTGTTCATACAGCGTGCTACGAGGTGCAATTGACGGTGCGTAGATCCGTTAAGTTAGCTCCACATTACCCCAAAAATGACACTGACTTCACAAACTATAATCTAAAATTAGAGTGAGGCAGAAACCGTGAGCTAAACTTTCGCACAAAATGATAGCACGCATATAAAATGGACAGCGTGCCGAACATTTCCGTTCTGTAAAAACCTATCGAGCTCATCACAATGAGTATCTCTCTACACCGGTGAACATCTGCACAGGACGCAAGTTCAAGGTGAAATGGGGAGTTGAAGAGATACAAAATATCACCACCCAAGCACTCCATCCTAACCAGCGAAGCAGGAATGGGCAGTAACAGGTGGTTGTAGACGATGCAGCCGCAGCCAAAGGGCCACTCGAGAAAAAAACGTTTCGCCGAAATCGTGAGTTGGTCCCGGTGAACACGTTTAGGCCGTTGCCACGTTGACGCTGCTCTTCCCACAACGCCACTTCCTCGGCTTGCCAATGTCGGTAACATTAAGTTCGCAAGGCTGCGGGATGCTTGGTGTGCAGTTGCTGTTCGCGCTTCGCCGCTAGAGCCTGTTTTAGGGCGCGCACAGCAGCATCGGCATGGCGTATACGAATTCTCTCATGGATTAGCTGCCAGCGCTGTTCTTGGAAAGTTGTCTCCTGCTAAGGCATCGCACGATCTGTGCCCTATCATGTGGAAATTGTAAGCTAAAAGTGCTGCGCGTGGGCTCGGTGGCACTGCTTCGATGGTATGAAAGACGTTACTGACAACGCAGCCGATGGCACGCGTCGTAGGGTAGGATGCAAAGAATGGCATCATTAACGGCGCTCCCCATGGCGCACGCGCTTGGGTGTGACGTAGAGGACTGCGTAACTGACGGCACAGCCAATGGAGGCCATTATCAAAACTCGTTGTGATTGTTAATTCATTTTACCTACCCATATGTAACTTTCGCTGTACTATCAATGGATGCACATTGTTGGGAAAATGAGGGCATATAGAGCTCGATGTGTGCGTGCCTGATCAGTTGGTTTTATTTATTTATTTATTTACTTATTTAGTTGTTTATTTATTTATTACTGTCGTATTGTGCAATGCTCACATTTAGCTTTTTCTTCCAACAAAGGGCGATTTTCAAGTCTATGTAAATTTTTTGAAAGTTCCTTTCTTGACGTACTGAAGCAACGAAAGTCACATAGAAGATGGGCAATTTTCACTGGCACGCAAGGCATAGAGACGGTTGTTGCACTTCTTGCGGGCAAGTGGTTTAAGAGACAGACTCTAAGCAGTGTCGGCTATTGTATTATTGTTCTTTTTCTCTTCTTCCTTTTCTTCTTCTTCTGTTTTTTTTAACATCTCTCTTCTGTCATCTTTTACTCCCCTAACCCTCTTCCCTAACACAGGGTAGCCAGTAGTCTGAGAACTGGCTACCCTCCTTGTCTTTCTCTTCCACCTCCTCCATAACTTTTTTCCTTCCTCCATGCTAGGAACCAGACCTTCAACCACGTTCCTTAGCAGCGCAATACTTCTGTAGGTAGCAACAACAGTCATGCGTGAAGCAATAAAATGGCACAATGAAACACAACAATGTAATAAGGTAACGTATATTAACCTCTACAGAAAGTCGGTTTTCCTGGTCACAAACGGCTGTTCGCCAACAAACCCACAGCAGTCGAGAGAGCATTAGCTATTGGAAAAGGACGCGTGTGATTGGTGCACCTTCGTGGGCCCATAGGCGGACGACCTCATTTCTGTACACCTGGTGACGCCAAGTTTTTTTTTCTGCGAATTATGTTGCTACCACCACCACCACAGAAATCTGTTACTCATAGCAGCATTGCTTAAGAATTCTTGGACAGCAAATGTCGCTGAAGCTATCGATTCGACAAGTGGACTTTGTTTTTATGAAGGGCCGAGACATTCATAAAATGTCTCTGTGGTATACCCAGTCATGCTCAATGCGTTCTTTGGTTCCATCTGGGTTCGCAGGTCTACTGCTGGGCAAGTACTCCCGCCTCGTCTCCTCCCGGGGCATGCCCTTGAGCCGGCTGCTGAGCATGTACTACGGCGTTTGGGGCGTTCCTCGTGCTGTGCCCGGTGTGCCGGGGCTGTCCGTGTGTGGCCGACGGGAGCTGCTGTACCCGTACCTGCGAGACGGCCTCCTCGAGGGCAACGTGAGCCACATGGCACGTGCCTACCTGCTTCACCGCTACGGACAAACTTCGAAGAGGCTTAGCCTGTTCGTGGCCGCGGCAACGGGCGAGTTCCTGCAGAGGTTGAGACGTGATCTGCTCAGTAAGTGACACCCGTAGTCGAAGCTTGTTCGTTCCATGCCTGGTGCAGAACTATTGCTGTGTCTGAAGTGTTCATGATTGGAAGTTCTTAGAGAAAGATTTATAAAAGTCACGCTAGCCGCTGGCGCTCACTGTTGCGACCCAGTTAAGGAACGAGGCCTTTAAATATGCTAAAATCAGAAAAATACGTTGCACAAAGCGGATTGACACATACTAATTTCCTCATTCGAAACCTCCTGATATTTGCATGCACAGGATGCTTTCGGTGTTATCTCTTTTCATTGTTTTCTTTTTTTGGCCGGTGACTGCAAAGCAGCTTTTCTGCTCATCGCAGGGCATCCTGCATTTTGCGACCGCTACCCACCAACACCAGACCAAGGTGAGAAAAATCAAGTAGCACAGCGCAGAATAATAGCGATGTGGGCTCACTTATCATTGCTGCAGTAGACATAACCTGCCGTGCACGCTTTTTCACCGTCTAACAGCGGAATGCAGAACGCCGGGCGACGTCTTCATCGTGATGGATGCTGACGCGTATGCGAATGACCTGTGGATGAAGCAACAAAAAAGGACGGTCGAGTAAGTTGGCTGAACTTTCTTTAACGTTTCGATTTCCCAACCGTCCCTGTGGACGACCAGAACATACAAAACAATCAAAATTCATTAGTGCCAAAAAGACCAGAAATAAAGCTGTCAATACAAGCGCCATACGACCTCTGTAAGCCTACAATTTTTATGATGATTCCCTAACATGTAGCTCAGTTTTCGGTCACTCGGCTAATACTGTTCAGTGTATAAAGCTAGGATGGGTCGCGTTCGTGACCAAAAGATGTTAAGAACAGGAAATTTTGGCCTGTTAATAAAACTAATAATCAGCGTTGTTTTTTTTTTTTGAGGGGGGGGGGGGGGGCTCGGAAAAATTGACGTGAATATTCATGATTTCACTGACAAGTCAGGATGATGTGATGGTTTGAAAGACAAGTCTACTTGCTTAAGAAACGGCTGTCCTGCCATTTTTTGTTTTCCAAATAATGGGGTTTCTTCAAACTGCAGTAACTCATACCGGTGACTGCCTTTGGCTGTTCTTGATGAGATCACATGTGTCATGCACAAGGGAGACAACCAAGATCTTTGATTGTATGCTATGTATTCTCTGAATGTAATAGGTAATGATAATATTTAAATTCACTATAGCTAAATTCACCATACCTTATCCACCTTAGTCACTGCTTCACCGACTTTCGTAATCCCAGTAGTGGCAGGGCTTTGAATTTTCAGTTCCACTGTTGCAAAATCTCTTTGAGCTCTTTATTCATTTTTACGACTTTAACGGTTTAGAAAACGGGAATACCATTTTGGTATAGCACCAACCTGTTTTCGCTATTTTCGAGAGCATACCGTTAGTGAATCGCGCTCTGCTGCTGCGTTGTACCAGGCGCACTTTAGTACCGCATACGTATACTATTATTAGGGTCTATGGCCGTAAGCTTGACCTGACATTGTCTGAGCGTTTTTTTTTTTTCAGGCTCTTGGCTCAGCGCCTGAATATTGGGAGCCACAGTGGCCGGTTTATGCACCTCTACGTCAACAAGCGCGACATAGACGGCACGCTGCAACTGCAGATGGCGAACGAAACTTCGTCGTCGACCGTCAGCTGCTACGCGCGTAGTACGAATTTTTCAGGTGAGCCTCACAAGAGCGTGGACACGCTCCTTCTGTAGCAACACCAATAATTGCGCAAACACTGGTCGAAACAATATAATTGGACAAATTCAGCAGTTAGTTCCTTATGCATTTTTTACACATTCCACTCACACCACCGTAGCCAGTAGTATCGATATGCATTATAGCATTACAGTGCGGCCATTCAACGCACATCACAACAAGGGACTGGCTTCAGATGTGACTATAGAAATGAGGCTGAAATATAACAGACGTGGTTTTTATGTGGATAAGTTTATATTATTGGCAATTCAAAGTCAAGCCGTCGCCCCTTCAGCAGACGCTTTGCGTGGTTATGCGGGCATTACCAGATAATTGCTCGCCATTTCAATGCAACTACAAAGTTGAAGCCGGCGAGTACGGATGCCTGTGAACTCATAACTCCTCAGCAGAAGGTCTACGGCGTGTCATTATTTTCGCTACATGTAACCTCAATATTAGCTGAAACATACGTTGGTGTACGACATTTATCCAAAAGCGTGTCTCAAGAAATCCAGAATAACGTCATCTAAAACACCGAAGCAATTTTGCGCATGAGTACTGCCACCGTTGTTCGGCAAAATCACTCATGAGTCGGCAAACTCAGACTCATTCGACTCATGTATAACCATAGGTCTGATTAAGTCAAAGTGAGTAATAGTTGGGTCACTTTGAGTCCGAGTACGTCCAATTGAGGAAAATGTTAATGAGTTGGAGCCCGAATGAGCCCTAAGCGGATAATGTAATTCTTGAATGAGTCTACGTGAGCTCCATCTATTCTTTCCAACTTCTGATTGCCACTTACGGGCAACCGCACAGCACTCGTAAATTTGCAGTCGGCTGTAATGCATGACCACCGACAAGCCGTTTGAAACCGTACATGAAGCGGCTTGTTGATGAGAAACGCGTTTGGTAGCTCGGCAAGCTTGTTGGTCTTCCAGTCTTTCATAGTGGTGTATTATATCGTTGCCATGTGAATGCAGTCGTAAGCTTTCTTCTTTTTCCCTCGTTTTTACCTTCGAGTGAGTGCTTGTGTGTTTTAGGAACTTGCTCCTTATGGTCGAGCCCTGTCCATCCATCATGCCGAAAAAGCCACGCGCTCTCTAGAGCAAATTACAGGGTCATAATGGAACGCGATGCACGCGTCTGTGTTCATGCACGAGAGGGCACGCTGGCTGAGCGACGCTATGCTAGCAGAACGCGAGCTCCAATGCAAGACGCAACCGACGCAACCGGCGTCCGTTAGCACGCCCATAGTTGGCACCGTTCCAAGGTATTCCAAGGCACGGGGCCTTCGCTGCCCTTGATAGGGCCCGTCTTTGTATGATGGTCGAGTGGATGTGGGGAGCACTCGCGGTTCACGTATTTAACATTCCGAGCAAGTTCCGTCATTATTGTTCACTCCGTGGATGTGGCGTAATCTTTTTTATATGCGATTGCATTTCTTAGCCGGGCTATGTCAGGCGTCCGTCGCGATCCGTCCACTGCCCTCTCCCATAGCAACAGCTGTGGGCGCGTGCCCCTAGCAACCGGAGCGCTCACAATGTCACGCTTCGGCGTCGACAGCTGTCAGGAAGAGCTGCGGGCGCGCGCGCTTATCCTCGCCTCTAGCAACTGAAGCCTGTGGTGCGAGAGACTGTACGAGAGGGTAGGTGGAGTGCATAGAGTTTTATACAATAATATTGTATGAAACTCTATGGCTGAGTGCTTCACCGCTCCTTCTCTCACCGTTCACTCTCCTTCCTTCGTGCGCCCCACTTTCCCGTCCACTCGCGCCTCACTCGACTACTCTCGACCGTTCGCTGGCAGGCCGCCTCTCAAGAACATCCAGTGATGTGTGCTCGAGACGCCTATGTGAAACGCCAACGCCGAGCCGAGAATTTTGTTTGTTTTGTTCACTTCACTGTACTTTTTAACCGTTCACGCTAGCTACAAGAGCTGAAAACGGCGCTAAAGGCTGCACGGTGTAAAAAAAAAGAGACCATTATGTTTCTAACGCTGGGTTCTCGCGTGCGAAACGCCGTTTTGGACGTTACGCAATGCATTCGCGTTTCCTCACAATTCCCTTCGGGGAGGTGGGGACATTCTTTTGTAAATTGCTGACAAATGTTCATTTGGGCTCGGTTAGCTCGTGTCCACCTGGTCAGTAACTGTGGGAGCAGACGTCTATTTATTTCTTTATTATTTCTTTATTTATATTCATTTATTTGTTTGATAATTTATTTATTTTATTTTATTTAACAATACTGCCACTCTTCATAGATACTATAGCAAGGAGTACATATGAAGACATGTTTGTTTACACAAAATCATAAAGGCTAAAATCCCAAAAACGTGAATTGCAAAATGACATACACACATTTCATTATACATTGCCGTAATAAGAACGCACAATCAAACAATTTTAGTAGCAACAAAAACATGGACTAGATTACCGCTAAAAGCAACTGAAAAAACGGTAAGGTGTGCATTTTTAAGATGGCATAGTGTCAACAAGTGCACATTATTATTGAACAAATTATGCAAACATTTATAAAAAGGATCTAAGAACTTGTCACCAAAAATATTACGATCATAAAAAAACAATGATTTAATAACATGACACAGGCTCATCGATTATTGGGTTTATTGATGTTGTAATGTCGTTAGTGTTATTTGTGAGGCATGCAGGTCGATTTCAATGGCTGCTGCAAACAAACTTATGGGTGATTCAGTGGTTAGGGTAGGTTTCAGTGAGTTCAAAACTTCAAAGGTTTGAGGGAAAAATGAATATTTGAGGAATTACTGTTGAAAGAGTATTCCGCAAAAGTATGGGAATAATTGCGAATGGTCGGTCTGCCTTGAAAAAAAAGGAAGATATATACCTTGAAGTATATACATTTAATCTAATGTGTAGGAGATGAAACATTAGTATTAGCGTTGTTAGCTTTGTCCGGTCTTGTAGTGTCAAAATACCAGCGATGTTATGTAGCTGTGTCAATTAGTCAGTCAGTCTATACAGTTAAAAATATTCTTTTTCTTTGAACCACTTTGATTTTAATATTCTGTTGGTGGGTAAACGGTAACCAGACAGAGTTGGCATACACTAGTACCGTTGTGACGAGGGTGTTAAGAGCTATTAGTTTGGTCTGTGGTGGTGCGTTCTTACGACGTCTTTTGATTAAAAATATTCTTTTTAGGGCTGTGCTATTTACGTTATTAATGTGAGTATCCATTTTCAGATCGCTTCGAATCGTTATTTCTAGATATATGTGTTTAAATGTTGTGGTTAAGGGACAGCTGTCAACAGTGTAATAAAAGTTGGATCTTTGTTTTTGCTGGGTTATTGCCATAGAAACACATTTACTAATGTTAAGGGGCATTTGCCATTTTTGCACCACTTGTGTACGCCTTCTAATGCTCAGCTCAGAGTTAGGTGATCGGCAGGAATATAAATTTTTTTGGTGAAGTACGCAGTCATCCGCAAAGAGCCTTAGTTTTCCTTCAGTTGAGAGGAGCAGATCATTAATGAATATTGTGAATAATATTAGTGCTAGGACGCCTCCCTGTGGCATGCCTGTCGTCACTGCTGCTGTTCCATAGAGGTGGTTAGCCACGCGAAGTCAAAAGGAACGTAAAGAACGAAGACTAGGCGAATTCGTGTACTACCCATAATTCCCGTGCTTGCCAGAACGTCATGAGTTGCAGCTCCGATAAACACTGTGGTGCCAGAGTACGCTCCCCTGTACGCGTATGAACGCGTAGTACGCGGAGTACGCTTCATTGTACGCTCCACTGTACGCTCCACTGTACGCTCCACTGTACGCGTAGGAAACTCTATATGGCTGCTACAAACACAGGCTAATTACGTCACTTGAAACCCCCCTATAAAAGACAGATAAAACAACCAAAACGAATGCATCGATCTTTTATTTCGTTTTTATTGTATCAGAAGCTTCAATGTGTTTTCGCAAATGCGTGGTAGAACCTCTGTGTATTTCGAATGTAGGAATCACTTCAGACTTAATGTACAAAACACTACATTTTTGAAAAAAAAAAACTCAATTCTAGACCAGCCTAGAAACACGGACAACGTGCAGAAAAAGTGGAGCCTGTAGCAGCTCTCCGGACTTATTCATTTTTTTTTCTCATTCAATTAGAACGTCTATGTGCCACCGCAGCAGAAATTCCTATCTTACGTGGACCCTGTACCCCGTGAACTTCTGCCCTCACAAATACGTTCGACAGTGGAAATACATCTCCCGCGAAATACTTAAAATCTGCGCACACGCAAACGCGTCGCTGATGCGCTTCAAGTAATCTAAAGTGTGAAATGGACATTCCTTTCATAACAAGTTTGTTTTAAATGAGAGAGAGTATAAAACATTTATGCACGACCGAGGAAGGAATGTCGTTGAGTGGGATCTTTAGTACTCCCACCCTACAGTGTTGTGCTGGGCTTTGGGTTGTAGAGATGGATTGTGTGGAATGCCCATATGCCCATACCACATGGTATGGGCATTCCCATACCATGTGGTACAGGGTAGCTGTTATAGTGACGCAGAACCTTCACTGTGGTGCCTATGTGTCGGGATCTATCAGTATGTATAGATTGGGGTAAGACAAGGTCTGCAGGCGACGCCACGCTACCTGAGATTCTTTACTGAGCCTTGGCCCCAAGAGCGGGAGTTCCATCTTTCGAGTCTTTGATGCTTTAGAATATCTCTCCATGTTAAGGACAGTTATTATTTTAAATGAGCGTACATTTTAACAACGCGTCATCTAGCGACGACTCAGAATATGCGGAAATATTGTGCCTTAACTACCGTACGACAGGTGACGCTAAGAGTCCAGTGTAGCACTTGACGATGATTTGAGGCTTGTTCTACACTGCCTTGACCAAAATATTGGCGTTATTCTGTTTGTATAGAAAAAATGGGTAACGATTTAGAGTACTACGTACTCTAGTATGAGAGAGCTTAAAGCCGTCCCGTGAATGAGCATCCGGTGACTTCTTAGTGAAAGTTTATCGGTTGCGAAAATAAAATTATTTCGAATCGTAAAAACAGCTTTTCATCATACATACGAGCGCAGGGTTCGTAAAACAACTAACTGCAATCTTACTTATAAAACTCCGTTCGATCGGTATTGCTAATCATCATCAAGCATTTAATGTCACGTAACGAACAGTATTTTATTATTTTTTTCAATCCGACGTTCCATATATACTCAACGACGAAGAGATTTGCATGATTATTAGCAGCTGCACCAACGCAATGGGCCGAGATACAACTCAGTACGCCATCTGAACATTATCGTCAACACACTTGCAAGGCAAACAGATAATGAGCTGATAACATAGTGTGCTAGGACGTAATAATTACAAGATTGAAAAGCAATCAAGGTACGTGTACCGAGTACCATGCTCGGTCCTTCGTGTCCTTCTTGTCTCTCTGTCGTTGTTCTGTTCTCGCGCTATAACTATCCTCATGTCTAGCACTACGTTAGGTTTGCTTAATTAGAAAACAAAAGAGAGCGTAAAGCAGTATTTTACTAATTAAATTATTATTTTTTTCAAAACCATTACTTGCTTTAGGGATTCCCAGTATAATCGCACGTCTCGTGTGTTTCCCTATTTCGACGCTTCTATTTAATATTAGACGCAAAAATTTGTAAAAGCAGTATTGCTGTATAAATAGAGATTTATCCTCTAAGAAGCGCCTGTGTTGGGCTAGCCAACGTCACCGTGGCCTACGTCATATGCGTGATGTATAGACAGTTTTTCGGATGCTCTTCCAAAGGAAACACAAAGAAAAATGAATTCAGTCTTTCAACTGCTGAAACCGCGAAGAAGAATTGAATACCGAGGCATCGACTACATAATTCGTATGTTGTCTAAAGAATGAATGCGTGCAGACAGGACCAACACGTCGATGTTATGGTGCGTGGTTTTATTGCGATAGCAACTATATGGACACTCTGGGCTGGATTTAGCCACAGGCGTCGGCGTCAATCACCGTATATGTATACGTATCTATCTATATGAAAACGCAAGAAAGGAAAGTAAGCCAGAAAAGTGACTTCGGCGCGCGGAATCACACATTATACCTTTCAATTCTGAGTAGCAAGGCTTTAGCCACTGAGCCACGAAGGAAAACCTCCTTGAACAATCAAACGGCAAGCTATTTATATCTACCACTTACCGGTGGTGATGGGCATCTCGGGGGCAACTATCGTGTTTTCAGTAATACCATGCAGCGAGATGGTGCAATGAGAGCGCGTCGCCTAAAGCGACCACCTTCCGAGAGTTAAAAACAAGAGCGATTTCTCCGGTATGGGCGAAACACGTCTGTCCGGAAATATATCACATGTACACGTGCCAACGGTGTAAGAAGGCACGGGCCACCCAGAGGCATATACTCTGGGAATGCTCACTTCGCACTCCCAACACCCAAGACATCGAGATGCCCGACAAGATCGGCAATAAGATTACCAGCACAGACCTCGAGACTCAACGGGCAGTCGTCCAGCACGTCCTCGAGCTCCTATACCTACAGAAAAACGAAACGTCATCTCGCTCACGGGGCAACGGATGAGGGTGGACGCAAGGTCTAGGGTTAAGATACGGAGCATCACAACGAAGGCAACATTACCTACAGAGACAAGATCCAGCACATGCCACGTTCCTTTTGAAGCGCGAGGCGGCCAGTGCTCGCTTCTGGGCTTGTAGTACGGCCCCGCCTCCGTAGGGCAAGCGGGCACGCAAGAATTTCCTTCCCTATCCCATCCTCTGTTTTGTCGGATCGACCAATAAAGTTGTTCTCTCTCTCTAAAGCGTTGCCAGATCGTCACGACGCGGTGGCGCACTCTCTCATCTCCCACGCGTACTTTGCCCTGCGGAGAGGGGTCGCTCAGGCCTACGCTCGCTTATCTTGAGATGAGCATGATGTGGTGGGGACAATCGTACGCCTTAGGGCTTTCACCGGAACCATTGTAGTTACAGGGCGCTCAAAGCTCACTGCACTCGTTGCACACTCTCCGTATGTGAAAAGGGCGCGCTTTTCAGACACAGCGAAGTAGCAACTTGAACGCTTATTCGCATTTATTTGTACCTGTGAATACGTTTCGTGCGTCAATTGTGCGTGAGAAACACGGAAACGTTTCCACCTGCTTGCCATTCTCCGTGTTACCTTCCAATTTGTTGCTATCACGTTCATTGCTTCGTCTTTGCGGCAAAGCTGTGACTTTTTCCTTCCTACATCTAAGGTCAGTGGGTGGCACATGTGTATTCTATAATTTATCTCTACATAGATACCACTCATTCAAGATAATTTGATCACAGCTTACTGTAACTGAACAGACTTCACGTGACATGTGTTCATTGTTCTGTTATATTTCATGTGATGACGCAACTCTTTTACTACTGTTCTATTTCTCAATTTCCTGTGCTACTTAGAGCAAGGAAATAATTTTTCATACTACATAAGAATTATTGCATATATTGACGCGCATTCATATTACACAGCTGCCTGTGCGTGTGCTTGTCGGTCATCGTTTTGGCGTCTTTCTCCTCCGCGTTCAAATAAGGGGCATATGACGACGTGAATGACAAACACAGAGCCTTAATGTTTGGCATAATTTTCATGGTGTATCACTCTATATGCACTAACTAAACAAGTAGTGTATCATGTAATGAAAAACGCGATATTTAGTTTCTGGAATATGTAATAATAAGAAAGTTTTCAGAGTGATGTGCGACTTATTTGCAGAGATCGCAACAGACAACGAGGTGGTCGTGCTTGAATCACTGCGAAATCTTCTCTCAAACAACCTCAACAGAAACAGAGGGCCGATCGCTCCAGCAACGGTAAGAAGATGAAGGCACCTTCAAGCTTGAATATATGCATATATGAGCGAAGCAGACAACGTGTAAACATCGTAAATGTGCAAAGAAACAAAGATTGACAATAAACTGTTTAACTAGTTTTTTATAGGATCACGTGATTGAAACGTTTTTGGCTGGTTATCAGGTCCAATAGTCAGCGTGTACTCTGCTTCTTGTCTTTCGATTCATGTACCAATGAACACCGAACATCTCGTAAATATTTTCCACGTGTCTAAACTAACGTAAAGATAGCCGTTGCTGATGGAGTTGGTGTTAATCTGCCGACTACTAAGTGCACTCGCAAGGCCTAAGTGAAGATCTATCGTTTACATGGGCTTACCTACGGTTTGCAGGCCGAGTTCGAAAAGTTTGCCATTTATTTATTGTAACATTCAACACCACAACATTGTTTTACTAAATAATAAACAATTAGTCGCTTTTAATGCGTTTATTATTACGATATTTACTTGTTCACGCGCGAACAGCCCAGGGAGAAAAGAGAAAAGGCAAGAGGAGGAAAGGCAGGAAGGTTAAACGGACGAGCGTCCGGTTCGCTGCCCTGCACTGGGAATATAGCTTATTCGTATGCTGAAAATGATATCATAGCTCCTGACAAGTCCGATACCACCTCTAAGAAATGCAACTAATTATAGACGTACATTCAGTAGTACCATGTTCTAGTAAAATAAATCAACGAAGAACAAAGTTAACATCACGTTATTTTAAAGTAATTTTAGTTATTAATGCTGCGTTAACTTTTCTTAGACAAACAGATTATGCCAAATAGGCAAGTTTTCTTGCGTATATGGAACCAAAGCGAACAGCTGAGTGATGGTACAAGCAGCTTGTATTCGTGCTTCAGTTCGAGTTTCAGTTTATTTTTACTTTCGTACAAAACATACATGCTTACATAAACATACAGAAGGAGGTCCCAGAGCACTTGGATGAAGGGGGACCTACTGTGAGAAAATGTGATAAATATCCACAAGTAAAACTGAGCTCTGACAGCAACGTGGAATACGTTATACAAATAAATGAAATATAGACTAAAAAACAAATTTTAACAATCACAAGTACAACAAAACACTGCATAGAAAATATAAAAAATGGAAGAAAAACCCAAATAATATTGATGAAACGAACAGAGGAACGAAAAAAAGCAAGGAAAAGATGAGTAGCTGTGGCACCATTAAGGGTGCATGAATATGAACAGGTGTAGATAATATTACACATCTTAAAATTCTGTGGTATCCAGCAGAAAAGTAAATGATGTGTTTTTAAAAATAGCTAATGATGAAGACTGCTTAACGTTAAGGGGAAGACTGTTCTAGGTTGATAACGACGTGAAATAACCAGAGCGTTTTCCATATTTAGTATGAACTAATGACGATAATAAATTGTTGTTAGCTGCAAATCTTGTTCGCTTGGGGTTTACTAGAACAGCGTCTGGAAATATGTTTACTGGAAGAGGGTTCTTCATTATTTTAAATAACACTATGGATAAATTGTATTTAACAAGGTTGTCTAAAGATAGGATTCTGTTACTATGAAGAATGTCGGACACACAGCACCTGAATGAGCTGAACGTTAGCATACGGATGGCCTGATTTTGTAAATGTTGCAGCGGTGCTATGTGTGTTGATATGTGGTAACCCCATGAGGTGATGCAGTAGTTCAGATGACTGTGAATGAAACAATAATACAGTGTTAGTAGTGTAGGTTTGCTGAAATAGTACCTGGCTTTTATTAAAATTCTAATACCAAGAGCAATTTTGCGCTTCAAATGGGCGATGTGTTTCGTAAATTTTACGTTAGAATCTAAAGTAACACCGAGAAATGAACATTCATCAGCTGCACTAATGACATGAGAATCAAGAATGATAGTGGGAAGGATTTCTGGTGTTCTGTGACTGGTATGAAGAAGCATGAATGAAGTCTTGGTGGGATTTATTTTCAGCGAATTAAGGCGGCGCCATGCTAAAATATTGTCCAAATCAGTATTCAACTTCGATGTAAGAGCAGTTAGTAATCGATCACTAGCAAGCAATGTCGTGTCGTCTGCGTAAAGGAAAGCTTCTGATTGTGATAGGTGATTAGGCAAATCATTTATGTAAAGTAAGAAAAGTAGTGGGCCAAGTATCGATCCCTGCGGAACACCCTTGTGTGTTATTTCGAAGTTAGATAGCAGGGAACCAACACACACAGCCGGTTGTCTGTCTGTTGAATAACTCTTTATAAGCTTCAGCACGGGCCCGTCAACCCCTACTGCCCGTAGTTTAAAAATGAGGATGTCATGATGGATGGAGTCGAATGCTTTCGATAGATCTATGAAAACTGATCCTGCGTAGAAACCAGAATCAATGGCGCTTTTTATTTTATCTGTGAAAGAAAGTAAAGCGTAGTCAGTCGAAGAACCCGTCCTGAAGCCGAATTGATTTGAGGAAGGAATATAAATTTGTAAAGGTATGTGGTAAGGCGTTTTTCAATGCACTTTTCAATCACTTTCAATGATCAAAATAATACTGATTCAACTCCTAACTAAAAGTTCTGAATTTGGGTTGTAAGAACGTGCACTTGATCCAATATATATTTTGTACAGGGGGGGTCCAAAGTTCCCAGGCCAGGCTACCATAGGGATACGTGAAATAGTGGCCTCGAAACTTCTCACTCTTCCTGTACGCGACGGCCTAAGTGTATAAATAATAAGCAGGTTTTTCTTTTGCCGTTAGCATATATCGAAATTTCTGAATGAAAAAAAAATATCTGTAGGCATTGTCAAAAACTTAAGGTTCCATCCTGCGAATTCATACTCCACACGTATACTGATAAATTTTCCTTTGAGTAACGTCCGTGTACCCTTAAGTTGTGAGTCTCCGTGAGCACAGTTAAGCGGAATTCCGGTAACTCTGAGTCTGAGTGAGTTTGGAAGACCATAACACTCGCGAAGGTGAGATAGAAGGCCGATAAGGATAAGATATATACTCCCACAGTGAGTCCAAGTCGAGTACGTCACTCGTTCAATTAAGCGATGTTTCGGACCTAAAAGCAAGCCACCCAATCTTGAAGATAGTGCGTTGTCGACTACAGAAAGAATACTCATAAGAAATTAAGAAATACAGCAGTGCGCACCGCCTATGTTTGTGTCGTGTTGATTTCAAATATATATATATATATATATATATATATATATATATATATATATATATATATATATATATATATGTGACGTTACGATGACTGGGCGACGTGGCCTGCGTCACACGAGCCGACAGGATGAAGACCTGGCGGCCACTTCATCAACCAGCCACCATCTCCGAACGTCTCAGCAAGACGCAGTGACCGAACGTGGACCACGAAAGTACATCCCAACTACACCAAGACCAGCATTATGACAGAACCATTAGACGACCTTCCCATCCCCAAGTACACCGGAGCAGCGGACGATGGACCTGTACAGGACTGGTTCAACCTGTTCGAACTCCACGCTACCGCTGCATCTTGGTCAGAACGGGAGATGGTTACGAACTTCAGCGACTACGTCACCGGTGAGAGAACGGAATAAACATGGGGTATGAGCCAGGCCACGTCACCCAGTCATCATAGCGTCATATATATATATATATATATATATATATATATATATATATATATATATATATATATATATATATATATATATATATATATATATATATATATATATATATATATATATATATATATATATATATGTGTGTGTGTGTGTGTGTGTGTGTGCCGCGCATATGCGGCACGTTTCTTCAGTTATCTGCCACGCGTTCCATGTTGTATGCCGCTAAAGAAAATCGCCGCCATTTCCTGCCCCCTCGTCCTTTCTTTAACGCCGATTATGGTGTTCTATCCTCTCGGGTAACCTTGTGTCATCACAGGTTTCCTTGTAAGAAAGTAGCTTGCAGGTATCACTACAGGAAGGAAGTTTCCCAACAAGGATAGGAGTATTTTTACCGCCGGACAGGATTAAACGCCCCTACAATGTTGTTTTTCCTTTCCTTTATTTTGTTTTGTTTCACTGAGAACATTACAATATATCAGCAGTGATTACTCCACCTCGTGTGTTGGAAGCCACGAACCTCACTGATATGCGCGCGCGCTGCATGTGCATTTGGCGTATACGCTAAAACTATAGAACTACCACACTTCACACAATTATGGAACATTCCGTGAAAGAAAGATCATGCGAATGTTGCACTTTTTATAGCCATTATATAAAAAGGAGTTGTCGCACAAGTAAGCCACTGGATGCCTGGGCGCTTAGCTAATATCGGAATCGCACCTAGAACATAGATTGTCGGAATTTTAATAATAATAATAATAATAATAATATTATTATTATTATTATTATTATTATTATTATTATTATTATTATTATTATTATTATTATTATTATTATTATTATTATTATTATTATTATTATTATTATTATTATTAACGGTAATAATAATGATAATAATAGCTTGGGTTTAACGTCCCAAAACCACCTTATGATTATGAGAGACACCATAGTGGAGGGCTCCGGGTATTTTCACCACCCGTGGTTTGGTAAGGGGGGACGGGGCACCTTTTTATTTCAGGAGGGGCACTTCCTTGAAATAGTCAATTTTCACTCTCTATGCCATGGCGAAACAAAATTTTGGGAGGGGTGGGGGGGGGGGGGGCGTTCAGCCTTTCGCTGGCTATGACCCTGTATGGACATCTGGAAAATGCAAAAAAGAAACGACAAAAAAATGATGGGCCCACGATGCAGTGGTCGGGCTTGGTCTGACTGTCCCAACGTGGGAGCGGCCAGCTGCGCGTTGAGTCGTGCACCTCAGGACATTAAATAAGGTTTCGCATCCATTCATCCTTTTACCTCAAGTCGGCAGGAGGCACATATGTCATGTACATCAATTATCACGTAACTGACATCATAGACAGTCAAAACGACGTTCTCAAGAATCGCATTGCATGTATATGTGTTGGGAACGCTATATTGGACACGTTGACGTTAAAGTAACATGTTGTATACATAACATTAAACGCTACAGACATATTATAACCTTCAAAGTAACATAGCGAACGATTGCATATACAGGGCGTTCCAAATATTGCAGAGCACGGTTTTAAAAAAGAGGAAAGGCATTACGTGACGCAAACCTATTGCATATCGTTCTTAGTATACTGAAGTAGCCGCTACTACTTTTTTTATTATTGACCAGAACCTAATTGTTTTAATAGTATTTGTAACTCTTGCAAATACTAGCATTATTGTCAAAATATCAACAAGGCAGATGTGCACCAGTTGAAATAAAAGCATTCTGTGCTACTTCCTACAACGTAATAATTGCGTGCTTATTTTAGTCTGTGAATAAAGACAGGCCTCGAAATATAAAAAAAATCAATACGTTACTATGCTCACATCCGCGAAAGAAAGCAGCGCCCTCAAAGTAGCTGCCTAAAAGCAACCGCTTTGGCTCTTTTACGATGCCAGAGACAACTCTTTGTACATTGGCAAGGGTACAGGTCAGGTACCAACAACATGCGTCGCAGTTTTGCAGGGAATCCTTCCGCTTGACCGTACGTCGCTATCAGGATTCAGATCTCACGGTCAACAGTTTGCTGCCGGATCTGTTCTGATTCCAGCTTAACTGCGTAAGATCAAGGCGGCGCGTTTCTTCGGATGGCAAGTGGCAGTTAGCTCGATCAGTATTTTTTCTTTCTTTCTACATTTCTTTCATTGCAACTGGACATATGGAAGCGAGCTTGTTTGAGGGCGCTTCTTTTTTTATGCGTGCAGTGGTCTATTCCAGTGTTACTTTTATTATTTCGCCAGCTTTCTTTATTAACAGGCAAAAATGACCACGCAATAAGTACGTTCTTGAAAGTAGCACAGACGTGATGATGATGTGTGGAGTTTAACGTCCCAAAACCACGATATGATTATGAGAGACGCCGTAGTGGAGGGCTCCGAAAATTTACCACCTGGGGTTCTTTAACGTGCACCCAAATCTGAGCACACGGGTCTACAACATTTCCGCCTCCATCGGAAACGCAGCCGCTGCAGCCGGGATTCGTCCCTCGACCTGCGGGTCAGCAGCCGAGTACCATTGCCACTAGACCACCGCGGCGGGACAAGTTGCACAGACAGATGTCGTTTCAACATGCGCACATCTGCCTCGTTTACATTTTCATAATTAAACCAGTACTCTTTGAGTTACAAACGTGATTATGACTAATTAAGTACTCGTCATTAGCGAAAAAATTAGTAGGGGCTACTACAGTACACTAAGAACCATATGCACTAGCTTGCTTTGCGTAACGAAGTTCCTCTTTGTTTAAATCACACTGCGTGATAACTAGGAGGTCCTGTATAAGTACACTATTTTGTGTGTCGTGTCAAATCCCGTGCAGTTGATATTTTAGAGAAATTTATTCTCACAGACAGTGAACATCAATTATAATCCAACAGAACATTGCGACAGAACACAACATCCGCAGACACACCAAAAGTTGTTACAAAAAGATACGTGTACATACGTAAACGGAACACAACATACACAACTTACCCAACTACACAGGAATTGTTATAAAAACAATGTCTACATATGCACAATACATGGTAAACGAAGAACACACAAATTAAATGTATAGATCTATATGTCAGATATAATACACTTGTTGCGTAACATTAAGACCAAACTAAAATTTAAGCATCAAAGATTGCACTGTCGCAATATTTAGGTTGAACAACTAATCATGCGCAAGGAATGAGCCACTAGGCTTGGTTTCTAGTTCCGAATTCCGCAAACTGTCTCTCAAAACAATCTGATGACTGCAGTGACAAAGTGTGACATTATCATCTTTTGTTTTCATTTTACATTCTTACCTTTCTTTCCAATTCTCAAGATCATTGTTATATTCAAATTCGGCCACCTGCGATCTTTGCATCAGCGGCTAAAACCATTGCTCCCAAGGGTTCTGGGAAGTAACGAAGGTGAGTAGATTCTGTTTGTCAACTACACCTATTAAAAATGAATGTGTTACAGATCTTCCTAAAGAGACCTAGCTGCGTTTGTACTTGAGTTTTCAAGCCAGGCCTGAAAGGCTGTTAACTAGAACAAACAAACAAACGGGGCCACAACACCGTAAAAACAGCAACATTTAGTGACCCATGAATTTGAGCATATGAGAGAACAAAAGGTTAACGACCACGAAATAAAAGGCTGTTCACCAGAACAAAATAGAGAAGTCCACCCTTCACTACTCAATGCGAGCTGTTTCACCCCATCATCAGAATTCACTTCCTCGATATGCGTAGATTTTTTTTCTGGAGTTGGTTTGTAACAAGTTGAAAGATAAATTTAGAAGTGTAGCATTTAAAAATGCAGCATACCAAGCTGAAATCCTTCTAGTCTCTATTACTTTTACCGCGAGGGCTTAAACGTTTGCGTATATGCGTGTTTTTTTTTCTTGTATTGACCACGTACAACACTGAGCCAGCTGAATAAAACCTTGGTGGTTCATGATATGTACCAAAATGCGCCTGCCCATGAGGAGAGTTAAGGCGTCATTTTTCTTTGCCAGGTGCCGGATCCATCATTGCCGTAGGCAACAACATTACTTCACTGCAACAAATGGTGCGCCGAGAAGGCAGAGGCGTGATGAAAGGTCACGACAAAGTCATGCTGCTAGCGGCGACTGAAGACGCAGCTAAAGACGTCGCCAATAAAATAGTGGACGAAGCGTGTACAGGTATGAATCTTGAATACTGCAAGACGTACGTCAGACGTCCTTGTGCGGGATAAGGTTTTTCAATTAACTGAATCTCCGCCTTGAATGTAGTGAAATTATATATATATATATATATATATATATATATATATATATATATATATATATATATATATATATATATATATATATATATGAATAGCGCCCACTGGGAGAAACGAACGATAATCAGGTCAGGTATTCATTAAGAGAAGATTAAGAGAACATTGCAGAAAGTGCGTATGTTGTAAAGAAAAGGCAACAATTAGGATCTGTAATAAAGGAGCACTGACATCAAATTTCAAGATCAAGATGTGCCCATAAATTAGTCACTCGGTATGCATAGGTTTTCTAGGTCAAATTTGAATGGCGTTCGTCACGTCGAAGTTACTTTATTTCGACGTCAAACAACGTAGAAAAGCTAAGGAGGAAAAAAAAACAAAAAAATTGGCAGTATATTCACGGAGTGAATGATGGAGAGTGGGGCGAAGCATTCGTTCGTCCATTCGTTCTTGCTTCAGTCCGTTCATGCGTCCGTCTGTGTGACTGTCCATGCGTCCATCCGGCCGGCCGTGCGTGCGTCTGTTCGTGCGTCCGTCCCTGCGTTCGTCCATGCATCTGCCCCTACGTCCGTTCATGCGTGCATCCATGCATCTGTCTGTGTGTCCGTTCGTTCATCTATTCAACACTCCAAGTACCACCATCTCGCATCTTTTCATCATATATTCCCCATATAGAAGCACCGCAATCCAGCGGACATTCCAAGAACTAAACGAGAGGTGGCACACGTACACTTTCTTACGGCTTGCGCTTCGGGTCTACTTTCCACCTTTAACCACCTTGAGTTCATGGTATATACTAGTTCACTGTATTCATGGCACTGCGGCCCAACGCTCGCTATACCTTTCTAAAACCAAGGAGGTTACGCCCAGCTAGTATAACGGAGCAACCTTTTCCTGTCATATAGTGCTTAATGTACATGCCAATGGCTGCTAATGGGAAATGAGAGACAGGAGAATTCGGCTTTTGCTTTTTTACGGCTTGCGCTTCGTATCTACTTTCCACCTTTAACTACCTCGAGTTCATTCATGGTATATACTAGTTCATTCTATTCATGGCACTGCGGCTCAACGCTCGCTAAACCTTTCTAAGACTAAGGAGGTTACACCCAATGAGTATAACGTAGCAACCCTTTCTTGTCAGATAGTGCTCAATGTACATGCCAATGGCGATCGCAGCGTGCGCTTTAACTAAAAGCCGAATGCTCCTGTCTCTCATTCCCCATTAGCAGCCATTGGCATGTACATTGAGCACTATTGTTTATTGTTCAACAACGCACTGAAAAATCTCTCACTGGCACCACCTTGGAGGTCAAAAAGTTATACTTGTTACACACTACAACGGCTACGAGGGATGAACGAGTGCCGTTATAAAGAGCTTCACCCATAAAATAGACTGCCCTGCGACATTGACCTTAGTGCTACATGTTGGGTGTGATAAATTCCACGAATACCATCCTGAGTGACGATACGCTAGTAACGATGATGTCGATAATCTCTGAGTGTGTTTAGAGCCGACTCCCAGCCATGCTTTCCCTGCTGGCTCTCCTTGCTGTGTTGAAGCGTGCGTTGTGCTGCACTGAGTGTGAGTTCAATCATTTAGAGCGACAATGCCTGCCAGAATGTCGGCTAACCATTGCGTAGTGAGAACCTGCACATCGAGGCGCGGAAAAGCGGAAAGTGCATGGCGTTTCATGCATTTCCAAGCCACGAACCTCAATGCAGCCAGCGGGTTGACTTCGCACGCGCCGTTGGACCGAGGGACAGGACGCCTGTCAACAACAGCCGCATTCGCTCCCTTCACTTTTCGGCGAGCTGATACTGGGTAAATCCTGTGTTGGCGAATCAATTGGGTTTCACTGGCAGTACGAGGCCTCTTCTCGAGGCCGGGGCTATTCTTACCGCGTGCCCTGCTGCAGCTGAAATCAGCGATCCACTCGCCAAACCTTCGCGACATGAGGTGCTTAGTTTGTGCTCCTGAGCTCCGACAGTACGGCCGGGACTGATAAATACATTGCATTTAACGCGGAGCTTGTCAAGCAAGGATAATCGTGAATCGCGGTTATATCTAATTCCAGGTCGCTGTTATCATCACTTGCCGAAGTTGCTGAAGACCATGGCGGGGACGACAATGTTGGCGACAGAGGCATGTCCACGCCCTCAGAGACAAAACTGTACTGACTGTACGTGCGCTCCGAGCAGACGAAACGCCAGTGTGACGTCACCATTTTTTGTGAAAGCGGCATCAGCTGTGCAGTGGCCCAACGCCGACTAAATTTCAAGGCCGGAAGGCTGCCGCAGTGACGTCAGAGGCTGGAAGCCCAGTTGCCCAACTGAGCATGCTCAGTAAGACGTTTAGATGCGGAGCATCTAATACTCGAGGCTTGTAGTGCGGCGCCGTCCGCAAGCTTCCTCCTCCTTCTTCCACCATCTGTGCATTCCTTCCTCCTCTACACACCGCGTGCGCTTCTCCTCTTCACGAACATTCGCTAGCTGTATAATGTAGCGCACATGCGCCGTCACGCTTCGAGAACATCGGCAGCTGACGCGCGCGCATGCGCCGTCGCACTTCGAGAACATCGGCAGCTGACGCGCGCGCATGCGCCGTTGCGCTTCTCCCCCTTCTCGAACATTCGACAGCTGACAGTGCATGCGCCGTCGCGCTGCATATATACTCAAGGTCGGCGCTCGCTCGCTCAGTTGCCGCTCGTCGGTTGGTTTGTACGGCGCGTCGACGTCCAAGGTCGCGGTGAAATGAATTCCAACGAATCCACAAACACAATGATCGACGTCCCTTCGACCAGCGCCGCCCTTTCGCATACGTGTGTACGTGTTCACTCATTTAACACCCCCTCCTACAACCACGTAAACCAATTTAGCCATCCACCCAAGTAAGTCGCAATTTAACACCCCATTTCACAACCACGTTAACCAATTTAGCCATCGACCCAAGTAAGTCGCACTTTAACACCCCGTTAACCAATTATATGCTCCGCATCCTCCTCAGTGTTCCCCCGAGGGAAGCTGCAGGCAATTTTTTTTTCCACATCTTTTATTCGGCCCAATCTGGCCGCAGCAGCTGCGAGAGCGGGAGCGTTGGTCTTCCTGAAACGTGAACGAAACGCAGGCTTTCCGCCGCATTCGTGGCGTAACTGGGCCCCCACCCTCTGACGTCACTGCGGCAGCCTTTCGGCCTTGATATTTAGTCGGCGTTGAGTGGCCTCGGCGTGGCCGTGAGGTATCTCAGCCAGCAATACGATTGGGCGGACTTTCCACCCACTTTGAACCACGTTCGATAGCGAATATAATAATCAATATTATATATACTTATTCATCAGTCAGATGCGTTTTAGGTCGCGAATCGCTACAAGGCGGTCGATAGCTACTCGTTGACGCAAAAATATTGACATAAGTATATTTCATGTCAGTGCTCCTTTAAGAAAACGTCATTATGCTGAAATGATTGGCAAAGTGAAAACGTCGGCCAACTGGAGTTGCGGATGAAGAGTCACGATGATCCAAGGATACATGAATACCAAAGTTCTGTTGTTTATAGCATTACCAAGCGGCCACAAGCCTGTGTCTATATGGTCTCAATCTCGTTAACATATGGGCAAATTATGGTACCAAGCTGTTTTGCAGAGACTTGACGAACATGTTCAATGCTTTTTTATACTGCAAGCCACAGTAGTCAAATAATTGTCTTCGTTGCACATTATACAAGCAGGTGATAACCGAACATTCCTTTTACCGTGAGATTTCGTACTTGTGTTTTGTATTTGCTATGCGGATAACCAGCCATCTGAATGAATTCGAATCAATGCCACTTAATTAAATAGACAGGAGTGACCAAAAATGTAGTTCCAAAATTGACGTATCAATCGGGATACAAAAAACTTCGTTTCTGAATGGAACGCTTCTTTGCAATGAGCTGAAAATTCTTTGAGATTCTCGCCAAGTCATATTCTTGAATGTTGCGGAAAACTTCCCAACTTCGTGAAAAGGTGCGTGTTCTCGCGGATGTCGTCCACAATATGCACTAAAAGGGTCCTTGAAAACGCAGCACCAGCACTTCTTCGTTGTTTGAATGATGGAGTGGAAAGCAAGGATAAGTTCTCCTTTCAAGGCAGCGTCACAGAGAATGGCGTCATCTACCTCATGCTTGATCCGGAGGACTACAACAATTTTGAAGACCTGAATATCAAGGTTAGCTACGCTCAGTGGGCCTCTTGTTGGAAACTTGAGCTGCATATCGTTATGGATGACTTTACGTAGCACCAACGGTCTCGGTCTCACGGGGCTGTTAAATGGTTCTTTACTTTGTATTTCCCGATGTGCATTGACAGTCCACCGTAGTAGAGCAGTGGTTCGACTGCTGACCCAAATCGTGGCATCGATCCCAGCCATGGCATTGGCCTTTCAATGGAAGCGACTTGGTAGAAGACCATGTGCTGTGCAATGTCGGCGCATGTTAAAGAGCACCACATGGTGAAAAATCCCGAAGCCTTCCACCACAGTGTCTTTCATAATCATATCGCGGTTTTGAGACGTAAAACCCCAGATAGTATCATTAGATGCGAATTGATAAAATCATGCAAGGACAACGCACTAGCTAACCGTTTCCACGCGTGCGCGTCTATCGTAGCACTGTTCGTATAGTTTTTGAGTGCGGGTTTTTGAAGGCTTTCAGCTTCGCCATATTCAAGATGTTTAACTTGTAGTGCCACCAGCAGCTACCTATTAGATCTGAAGCGTTGAAAGTGCGCTGCAAAACGGGCCGGTGATCGCAATATAAAAGCTAGAAAACAACAATGAATGCAAGGTAGAAACGATGAGGATATAAAACAGTTTCAAAATTAAAAAGGCATCAAAACTCCTATAAATCAAGTGCCTGACTGGAAAAAAAGCTGGATTAAAGTAACAAACATGGCTGATGTCTGCGTCATCGGAATTTATATTACACGAAAATGAAACGTGTCTTCAAAAAAGTATTTTTTTTACTGTGTAGTGGCTGATGATTCGCACATATTACGAAAATACGTCACTGATAAAATGAACCGTGATAAAATACATTTCAGTGGTAAAATGTTATAGGACGTGAAAAATACAAGCATAAGAACATATACAAACAATAGCGTATATACAAACAGGGATACAATAAAACTGTCCCCACCTCCCCGAAGGGAATCACGAGAAAATGTGAATGTCTTGCGTAGCGTTCATAACAGCGTCTCACACGTGGAAACCTAGCGTTAGAAAAATAAGGCTTTTTTTTACACCGTGCAGCCAATAATGCCGTTCGCCGCACGTGCCATTTTTCTGTCGCGAGAAAAGCAATATGCGTTTCCAGCTCTAGTAGCTAGCGTGCACTGTTAAAAATACTATGAAGTGAACAAAACAAACAACGTTCTCGGCTCGGCGTTGGCGTTTCATAGCAGCGCCTCGAGCACACATTTCCGGATGGTGTTTAGAGGCGCCAGGCAGTGAACGTCGAGAGTCAGGCGCGAGCGGACGGGAAGTGGAGCAAGGAAGAGAGACAGTGAACGGCGAAAGGAAGGAGCGGCGGAGCACTGCGCCTACCCATTCCTACACTCTCTCGCACCACATGTTCCGGTTGCTAGGGGCCAGGATCAGAGCGTGCCCGCAGCTGTTGCTATAGGAGAGGGAGGTGGACGGATCCCGATGGACGCCTGACATAGCCAGACTAAGAAATGCATTGGCATTTTAAAAACTTGGACCCTCTTTCCGAAGGAAACCCTGATGAAATGCGAAGTAGCAGCGGTGCGCACGGCGTTGACTCAGTTGAAACGGGCGTCGATGGTGGTGCTAAAATAGTGATTAGAAGCAAAACTAGGGCTAGCGCTTACTCGAGTAAACGTCGTCTCTTTGACATGTACGTACAACCAGCTCGCGCTAATAATTTTTCTGCAAGGCAAAGGAATACACTGCCGTAACTAAGACCGACTGCTAGTTTGTTAAGGTACTTCCTTAGGACATACTTTATATGTGAACCGTTAGTTGGGGTACTAACTTCTTTTGTCGTCCTTTAGATCGAAGCCGTTGGTGGAACGCTGAAGGTGTGCCAGCGGCGCTCGAAGTTTCATCAGTTGCAGCTTCAGGACTGCGACACCGTGTCAGAAAATGGTAAGATACAATAGGACACTTGTGAGGAAAATCACAAATGCTTCTGAAATGCGCTTCGCGGAAAGCTTGTGACGTGAATGATGCCACGGCGTTGAATTCGTTAAAAAGGTAGGCTCGTTGGAAGGTGTGTGGCTAAATACGAATCATTTCGTTTCGGAAAGTCTGTTACTTGTGTCGACACCAAGAATACACACAGATTATAAATGAGCCTGATGTACCGAAAATTGAGTTCAGGACAACAGATTTCAAGTGGTGTTAGTTTGTCGCAGTGAATGATGTCATAGCACTTTGAATGTAAATACCGCGCCTGTCGTGTCGCCTTTCGCGTCCCACTCTTCAAAGCTCTAAAGGCTCGTTCACACCTAAAGCGGCACGGTAAAGTGGGAAAGCGGGTTATTCCAAGCGGCGAGGTGGCGAATGCGTGAACCAGTTCAGACCACACGTCCTTCCTTGGCTGGCCGCACGGCAGAGGAGGCGGGCATCTCGCGCCTTTGCGCACGTGTTCCTATTACGTGGCAACGCTTTTGTCAAGGCATAGCCTCCAAGATGGCAAGCGCGTGGCATGTCCCCGGCCGTCCCAATCGCTGCGTTCCCCAGAAAGATGAACGAGTATCACCTCGCGCGCCCGGCTGCCACGAGATGACGCAGATTCTGGTGGCGGTGGAGACCGCGGCAGAGAGCAGAGCGCACGGGATTCCGGAGTGCGTGTTTTAGGGGCGAAGCTCCTCTTAGTCTAACCTTGTCACTGGTCATGCGTAAATGAGAGAAGAAGAGTCGAGAAAGAAAAGAAGGCGAAATAACTGTATGACCATTTCTCGTCAAATTTGTTAGATGGCGTTCCTCTGCCGCTACTCTCCGAAGTACGCTACTCTTCGATTGGCTGCTGTGCGCGCTTTTCCTGAGTGCACGAAGAACGAGTGCCTCTCTGAGTCTCAGATAGTCGCCATACGTGGCGGATCGTTAGTGGGGAATGGACGAGGTTGAGCGGCGGGCACGTTGATGACGCTTGCGCTCGATTTTGCTGGCTCGCGTCTCGTCAGTGTTCAAATCCAAATGGAAGGGTCGCAGATGGAGCAGAACGACGTCTTTTTGAATCTACGTATTTCTCAAAGTAGACTAGTCAATAAAGAAAAAGTATAAATTGTAAGTGCTATGTACGCATGGCAATAACGAATGAACGGGCGACTTCTTCGCCCCACTCTCCATCATTCGCTACGTGGATATGCTGCCATTTTTTTTATCAGATAGTGCTCAATGTACATGCCAATGGCTGCTAATGGGGATCGCAGCGTGCGCGTTAACTAAAAGCCGAATGCTCCTGTCTCTCATTCCCCATTAGCAGCCATTGGCATGTACATTAGGCACTATTTTTTATTGTTCAACAACGCACAGAAGAAATATGTCACCGGAACCACCCTGGAGGTCAAAATGTTATACTTGTTACATACTACAACGGCTACGAGGGACGAACGGTTGCCGCTATAAGGAGCTTCGCCCCTAAAACTTGGACCCTCTTTCCGAAGGAAACTTTGAAGGGATGCGAAGCAGCAGTGGTGCGCGGGTCGTTGACTCAGTTGAAACGGGCATCGACACGGGTGCTAAAACAGCGGTTAGAAGCAAAACTAGGGCTAGCGCTTACTCGTGTAAATGACATCTCTTTGACGTGTACGTACAACCACCTCGCTCAAATAATTTTTCAGCAATGCAAAGGAATACACTCGCGTTACTAAGGCCGACTGATAGTTTGTTAAGGTACTTTCTTGGGGCATACTTTATTTGTGAACCGTTAGTTGGGGTACTAACTTTTTTTGTCGTTCTTTAGATAGAAGCCGTTGGTGGAACCCTCAAGGTGTGCCAGCGGCGCACGAAGTTTCATCACTTGCAGCTTCAGGACTGCGACACCGTGTCAGAAAATGGTAAGATACAATAGAACACTTGTGAGGAAAATGACAAATGCTTTTGAAAATCGCTTTGCAGAAACATTGTGACGTGAATGACGCCACAGTGTTGAAGGCGTTGAAAAGGTAGAGACGGTGAAAGGCGTGTGGTTAAATATGAAATAGATTTGTTTCGGAAAGTCTGATACCTGTGTCGACGCGAAGAATACACAGAGGTTGTAAAAGAGCCTGATGTACCGAAAATTGAGTTCAGGACAACAGATTTCAAGTCGAGTTTGTTTTTCGCAGTAAATGACGTCTTAGCACTTTGAATGTAAATACTGCGGCTGTCGTGTCGCCTTTCGCGTCTCACTCCATGTAGCTCTAAAGGCTCGTTCACACCAAAAGCGGCGCGGCAAAGCGGGCAAGCGGGCCATTCCAAGCGGCGAGGTGGCGAATGCGCGCACCTGTTCAGACCACACGTCCTTCTTTGGCTGGCCGCACGGCAGAGGAGGTGGGCATCTCGCGCTTTTGCGCACGTGTCGCTATCACGTCGAAACGTTTTTGTCAAGGCATGGCCTCCAAGATGGCGAGCGCGTGGCATGTTTCTCCCCGGCCGTCCCAATCGCTGCGTTCCCCAGAAAAATGAACGAGTATAGCCTCGCGCACCCGGCTGCCGCGAGAGGGCGCAGATTCTGGCGGCGGCAGAGACCACGGCAGAAAGCAGAGTGCACGGGACTCCTGAGTGCGTGTTTTAGGGGCGAAGCTCCTCTTAGTCTAATTTTGTCTCTGGTCACGCGTAACCGAGAGAAGAAGAGTCGAGAAAGAAAAGAAGGCAAAATAACTGGATGACCATTTCTCGTCAGATTTGTTTGATGGCATTACTCTGCCGCTACTCTCCGAAGTACGCTACTCTCCGATTGGCTGCTGGGCGCGCTTTGCCTGATTGCACGAAGAACGAGTGCCTCTCTGAGTCTCCTGGATAGTCGCCGTACGTGGCGGATCGTTGTTGGGGCATGGACGAGGTAGAGCGGCGGGCATGTTGAAGACACTTGCGCTCGATTTCACTGGCTCGCGTCTCGTCAGTGTTTAAATCCAAATGAAAGGGTCGCAGATGGAGCAGAACAGCGTCTTTCTGAATCTACGTATTTGTCAAAGTAGACTAGTGAATAAAGAAAAAGTGTAAATCGTAAGTGATATGTAACGCACGCTGTTTCATATCAGATACACCAAACTCTGAACGTGTGCTGCGTTATTCTTGAACAGGCAAAAAATCTAGATGTTCGTGCTTACATTGTACAACATGCCCACTTAACGACGCACGACTCACAGCGCGAATGGGTTTCCGTTCACCCGAAGACCACTGGGCCGCTGTGATTACCTTAGCAAGTCTTTTCGATGTGGCGTCAGAACGAAAAGCAGCGCTAATTTAATGAAAGGAAATAATTAGGCAACCATTAAATCGATTGAATGTGACCCGGGAGCGTAGAAAGCGGCACTCTTCAGACTTCACTTATAGCACATGCGGAAGTTTATAGCACATGCGGATCTCTCGCAGAGGCATCGCACTTACAAGTGCGGCGCAAACCTGCGGTGACAAAGTCCATTTGAAAATATATACGCTCAAGCATTGGCTTTGCATCTCGCACACCTTAGCCCGACATTCCCAACTGAGCGCGAACTTATATAAAAGCGCGAAATCATTTTTTTTTCATCACATGCAAGCTTCACCAACAGCGTGGGAGCCTTTGGATGGATAGATGGATGGATGGATGGATGGATGGATGGATGGATGGATGGATGGATGGATGGATGGATGGATGGATGGATGGATGGATGGATGGATGGACGGATGGATGGATGGATGGATGGATGGATGGATGGATGGATGGATGGATGGATGGATATGGCTGTACCCTTTAGATCGGGCGGTGGCTAGCGCCACCAAGCCGTAATACCTAACGAACCAAAAATTATATTTATTTTTTTTCCTTAAAAAGTGAGTTTGAGGATTCGTACTTTGCAGTGAAGAGTTTAATTTTTACTCGCGCCTTGACTTTAGCCACCAATTAGATAACTTCCTTCTAGTCAAGTCTACCCGCTTAAAGTTTATTTTGCCCTCCCGGTCCCTAAACCCCAGTGCTTTGAAAAACTCTGTGCCATCATCCTGAACTATAGGGTGAAGCCCTTTACAGAACATTATCAAGTGTTCGGCAGTTTCTTCTTCCTCTCCACACGCACTGCATACTGTGTCTACCCCTTCGTATTTGGCCCGATAGGTCTTGGTTCGCAATACTCCTGTCTTGGCCTCAAACAGTAGAGAACTACCCCGAGTATTATCATAGATCCTTTCCTTGGCAATTTCCTGTTTAAAAGTTCGATAGATCTCAAGTGCAGACTTCTTAATAATGCCCATTCTCCACATGTCAGTCTCCGTTTCCTTCAATTTCTTCTTAACCGATAGTTCTTTTTGGCTTGGCCACCTGCTGTTTTCTAAGTATTTACCAATTAACTTCCTGGTTCGCTTCCTCCATTTTGTATCGACATTCTTCATGTACAAGTAGCTGAAAACCTTCCTAGCCCAACGCTCTTCCCCCACTTCTCTCAATCGCTTCTCAAATTTCATCTTGCTGCTAGCTTCCCTGCCCTCAAATGATGTCCATCCCATATCACCTTGTACTCCCTGATTTGGTGTATTCCCGTAAGCTCCTAAAGCAAGCCTACCTATTCCACGTTGCTTAATTTCTAATCTTGCTTGAACTTCTGATCTCATGCACAAGACCGCATTGCCGAACGTCAGCCCAGGAACCATGACCCCTTTCCATATTCCTCTCACAACATCATACCTATTGTAATTCCACAGTGCCCTATTTTTCATGACTGCTGCATTCCTGTTACCTTTAGTCGTCACGTATATTTCGTGTTCCCTCAGATACTCGGTCCCATTGCTTATCCATACGCCCAGATATTTGTATTTATCTGTTGTCTCTAGCGTGACCTCCTGTATTCTAAGCTCACTACCTTCGTTGTCATTGAAAATCATGACTGCTGATTTTTCCTTACCGAATCTAAAATCTAACCTATCTCCCTCATTACCGCAGATGTCCATCAATCTCTGCAAATCTTCCTTGTTGTTGGCCATTAGCACTGTATCATCTGCGTACATTAATGCTGGTAGTGCCTGATCAATAAGTTTTCTTTGTTGGACTAAAGAGAGGTTGAAGCCCAGTCCACTTCCCTCTAATTTTGCCTCTAATTCTTGTAGGTACATCATGAATGATAAGGGTGACAGGGGGCACCCCTGCCTAAGCCCCCGTTTTACCTCTGCAGGCTTGGATACCTGTTTTTCCCACTTTATAACTACCTTGTTACCTTTATAGATACCCTTTAAAAGATTAGTGACTACATGTTCCACGCCTAGTGTGTCCAGTATTCCCCACAATTCCTCTTGAACCACGCTATTGTACGCTCCCTTGATATCCAAAAATGCTAGCCACAGGGGCCTGTGTTCCTTTTCTGCTATTTCGATGCATTGCGTCAGTAAGAACAGATTGTCTTCCAACCTCCTGTGTTTCCGAAACCCATTCTGCAGTTCACCCAGCACCCCCTCATCCTCTATTCACGCCTGCAGTCTTTCCTTTATAATCTGCATCGCCAGCCTGTAGACCACTGATGTCACTGTTATAGGACGGTAGTTGTTTATGTCAGCTTTGTCCCCCTTTCCTTTATAGATCATGCTCATCCTGCTAAGTTTCCATCCATCGGGAACTTCACCATCGATTATTATTGTGCTCACTGCTTCTCTCAAAGCCTGCTTAGACTTCGGACCTAATGTCTTTATCAGCCTAATTGCAACGCCATCTGGGCCTGTTGATGTACTACTAGGAACCCTTTTCTCAGCCCTTTCCCACTCTTGTTGTGAAAATGGAGCCATTGCACCACTTGATTCGTCCTTGTCTATTGTGGTGCATAAAGTACTTCTTTGCTGAAATTTTTCTGTCACCCTTGTTCTTATATATTCAATAGCTTCGTCCCCTTCTAGCCTAGCACCTTGGGCTGTAGTTGTAAAACTCTGCTCTAGGCTCGTCTCATTTCTTAGGGAGTTTAGATGGTTCCAAAATTTCGTAGCTGCCTTTCTATCTTTTTTATGTACTTCTGCCAGCCACTGAGCTCCCTTCCTTCTAATTTTTTGATTGATCAGAAGGGATGCATCCCTTCTACAGCTTAGAAAGGTTGCCCATTTTCTTTCAACATCATCTGTCGGTTCACCCCGCTGCTTAGCATGTCTCTGTTCCCTAGAGGCTTCCTGACGTTTTGCTATGGCTCTCTTAACTTCCTTATCCCACCAACTTTTGGGTTTGTGTCTTCTTTTCCGGGGTGACTTGTCCCGCGTCTTAGCAAGCTCTAGCTCAAAGAGTCTAATTAGATTCGTGTATGTCCACACTGTCTTATTATCCTCCGTGATTACTTTCTGAATTTGTTTAGTGGCTATTTCAATTTGCCTTTCTGGATAAAAATTTTCCTGTAGTTGCTCATCTTGTCTCCTTCCCACTTTCATTGCTCTTCCAAAACTTAGCTTGATACGTTTGTGATCGCTACCCAGACTTCTGGAGCCACCTTCATCTATGTGCATTCCCCTGAGCTTATCATACATTCTATGTGACATCAGTGCATAATATATCGTCGACTGAAGCCTTCCTACCTCCCATGTTATTTGCCCTTCACACTTCTCGGTACTGTTGCAAATGATCAAATCAAGCCTTTCGCACATATCCATGATCATTTTGCCTGTCGGGTCGGTATACCCATCTATATCTTCTATGTGCGCATTCATGTCTCCTAGTATAATTATCTCGCACTCTCTTCCTAACTCCTGAATGTCCTTTGATATACACTCTACCATTGCGTGGTTTTCCTCTCTGGCCTTTGCTCCCGTCCACAAGCACACGAAACCAAGGAGTGTCATTTGACCTGCCAATTTCCCTTTTAGCCATAAATGTTCCTTGCACTCCTGCTTGACCCTTTGCCAGTCTGTACTT